TCTCGATCTGAAGCCCTCTTAAGCTGCTGAATACAGTTTGGAAAGCTATGCAAATCTCCAGCCTTGTCAAAAAGTCTCTGCCTTCATGCCTCCCCTCCAACCTCCCACACCATATTACCACACTTCTATCACCCATAAGCACATCTTTTTCCCCCTCCAACAGTTCCCCCCAAACTTGTAACTTCTGTTCTCTGCAGAAAGGACACAAGGGCAGATTATTTGTCAATGCAATCAATAATTTATTACCCCTTTCAAACCAAGGAGTTCCCTGTTCCAACATCCAATAACATCATGCACATAGTCCTTCAGGTGCCAAGTCCTTCTCACAGACAGAGAAAAAGCTCTTCCAGCCAAGAATTTTTAAGCCAAGACCCTCATACATATTATAGTCCTAATTACTCCAACTATCTGCTGACTTGACTGAAAAAATCCACCAGGATGTGCCTGCCCTAATGTACCTAAACTATGCTAGCAGAGAAAACTGCTCTCCATTTCGAACCGAACAAGGCTGCCAGTTAAATTTGTCTGGCAGAATTTTATGACCTGTGATGTGCCAAAGGCACAGTGCCAGACAGTCTAAGAGGTTATTTTTATGTATAGACATTTTTAGTACCTTATTGCTATACTGTCTGCACAGAGATCAGATAGTCAGTGAATTGATCCCCAACACTTAGGTTATTCCCAGATAACAGATGGGAAATGGAAACATTAGTAGGCTAAATAAAGCTAGTTAGAGCTGTACTTCCACACTCACTCCTACCCCACAACTGCTCAAACTTCCCACCTTACCCAGGGTCAGGATGCAGGCAGGGCTCCCTTTAATCCCATCAAGTAAACTGGGATTAAAAAAAAAAAAAGGCAAAAAGGAGCCAGTATCAGAGACCCCCACAAAAAGAGGAAGAGCAATCACATCCACTTCAAGGGACTTTCCAAATCATTGTGCAAGCAGCACTCGCTGTTTTTTCCAACCACGCTCAACCTTTAAATCCTAGCAGCTCCCCTTCAGTGCTTCCCTGTGCAGTCCTGCCTCCTTACCATTGCCTTACCCAGCTACAAAAGAAGACAGAGAGCTCACTGTGCATGCTACCCTCACAACAGTCACCAACATCTGTCCCTTCTGCTTGCCTGCATGCCATTTCTCAGGATGCTGAACACTCACTACACTTTGCAGGTATGGTGTCCAGAGGAGCACGGCCTCTTCCTGGGTGCTCCTCATGTTATACCAGAGTGTTTGGGATTCATTCAGAGACACTTTGTGACAGGCCTGAAAACTAATAGCTTGAAAAAATCTAGGATATTCTTCTATCCTGAAATAATTCTTTCACATATCTGGCAGTATCTGGGGAAAAGACAAATAAGGAAGCCATCATGACTTTGAAATGAACACATCTGAACTGAAAAGAAATATGAAAGAAATACGTTACAGTCATTTCCTTTGGTAAGGGATGGGCTACCAAGATAAGAAAATGTTTTACAAAGTCATGGACACTTCTGAATAAAGCATACATCTATGGTGACAGAAAACAATCAATGAATCCATGATTTCAAAGCCCAGGTCTACGGAAGTGCTCTTAGACTTGCAGGACCTGGCAATATTGCTGGAACTGGAGAATGGAGTGATAAATGAATTAAGCCAGTGTTGCGGAGACTCAGGAGAGGAGGACAGCTATCAGATCTGGAACGTCACCACTCTTCTTTAGCTCTTAGACTTGAAGACTGAAGGTGAAACGATGCAGCTCTCTAAAGATGGCAGCACCCAAGGCAATCTGCCTTCCACTGACAGGCATCAGTGTGTAGGGGCCTTGTTTCCAAACTGCCTAATTTTGGATCAGGTTAACCCTGCCCATGCCATCTGAGATACAGTTAAAACCAAAGATGACAGCTAGGACAGCAGCACTTAGTTCTCAGGTTTTGGAAATTAGCAAGCAAATGGGAAGCAGGGCTATAAAACCAGAACAATTACAGAATTAGCTGAACTCTGATGTAAAGGAACAGAGACTTCTCACAAGCACCCCACCACCAGCTCACTGTCTCACAAATACTTATAATCTTCCCCACCACCCATCACTTCCATGGGGATTTCTCTTCCTCAGTCCCCACTTTTTTGACATTTCTCACTTTTTTGTTGTGAGAACCTTGCCCCGCAGACTTCTTATAGCATATGCCCTTATTCCCTCCATTGGATATCTGCTTGCTTCATAGCTAAAATACAGTCTGAGGCCATTTCCTCCAACTGCCTGCTGTGAAATGAACCCAGTGCCAGCCCTATTAAGATCAACTGCTCTTCCCATTTATTTGAGCCTTCCCATTAGTTATCAGTGGTGACTTTAAAAGGAAAGGATAGTTTTATACCCTGCTCAGCTCTCACTGCAGCAAGCTCTTACAAATAACTGAAGCTTTGTTTTCAGAAAAACCAGCCTTGCTTTAGAGCTGACAGGACAATCCATTAAGCTACACAGCATCCAAAATATTTCCGGACCAGCCCGCGCAGTGGCAGCCTGCTGTATGGCCACAAGTCTGCTCTCTCCTGGCTTCTGAAACAATGTTGAATTTGCCTGGGATTCCTGCATGGTGCTGCAGGCGAGAGCTCTGAACACAGGGCAAAGGTGTATTGCACGCAAGACAGGCAAGTACTTCATGCTGCAACACTCAAAAAAAAAAAATTCAAATTTTACAGTGATCGCTTCCCCCCCACCCCTCTCCTAACTGCACATTCACTTCCTAAAGATACCTGAATATTTTCAGTCGCTTCACTGAAACATGACCAGGCTGTGACTACCAATATTCTGCTAAAAGCACAGTGCACCTCCCAAGGCAGCAAAAGTAAGAAGTCTTTTTGTTTTGAGGTTTTTTTTCCCTTATTTCCAAACCACAGGGAGTGCCACTGTCCATAACCTACTGTCACTGCTGGACCACGTCACATCCAAGGTTAACAATGCTGACAAACAGAACCTATTAAGTGGTCCACTACATCCAAGTGCACCTCTCTCAGCTCGCCTCCAGGGAACAAAGAGAATCAATTTCTCTCCAACTACTGAAACAAGGTAGCCCACAAAACGTCACATATGTTCTTTTCAGGTGCTCAGCGCCATGAAGTCTAAAGTACTATAAATCCCCTGGAACTAAAGACAGTCCAAGAGATTGTTCTAGCTCTTCTAGCAAGATTGGAAATTAATACACACTAGGCTGACCCTTCCACTCACTGGGATTTAGCAGCTTGTCGGTATCACAAGCAAGAAAAAGGACAAACACTGGAAAATTGCAATGAAAGATCTGCTTATCTAGCTAAATGCACAAGCCCCACCACTGAGAGCAGAAAGGACAGAATGCAGAATAGCTCCCTGGAATAGCTGTGAAGCAACAGATACTTTTCAAATGCAGCTTGGCAGCACCACCGCTTTCTGAAACAAAGGGGCTGCAGCCTCACTGGCAACACATGAAAAATGGTGTCTAAAAATGATTTAATATGAAATGCATCACCACAAAAGGAATATATAAAACCTGAAACACAGGGCTCAGGTTCCACAGTGATGGGCATGCTAGCAATTTCAACAGAAGTGTTCATTTACAGTGTGTCAAAAGCTAATCCAGGTCAATTCACTACCTAGAAGTCAAGGTTTTGAGAAACGCCTGTTCTTTTCTTGCTAAGCATTCTCCCTTCCCTGAAGCACAATCAATGCCAATCAAACCCTGCACATGAGCAGAACTCTAGTGGAGAGATGCAGCCCATACAAATGAAAAATGCCATGAGCCCCCCTAGAAAGGCAGCTCTGACAAAGCCTACAGCCCAGCTCTTCCATTAGAGCCTTTCATAAAACACAGTCAGAGTGTGAACATGGAGTGCTGGCTGGAAAGCCCTCCCAAGTCATAAATCACATGGTACATGCACAGCATAAGTGGAGTTTATTCATGATGGACAGTATTTCAACAGGGCTTGATAGATGGGTGAGGAAAAGGAGCCAGACTTTACGGAGGACAGAACTAGTTACACAAGAGATCCTTCATTAGCGAGAGAACCTTAACAATATGAAGCATAGCCAAGCAGAGTTAGACTGATAGGTGGGGCTGTCCTGCTCTTCTCTGTCAACAAAGCAGGCACTGTCACCTCTCTGCAGCTGCTGCCACTTGCTGCCTGCTGGCGCGACGCAAGAAAGGCACAAGCAGTCAGTCCAAGCAGCAACTCCACTGACAAGCAGTTCTGGTCTGAATTTACACCAGTGCCATTAGAAAGAGATGGAGGACTGCACTGCAATCAGACTGCTGCAGCTCAAGCAAGGCAATGGGAAACAAAAAAAAACAAACAACCAACCAACTCTTGTGATCCCCTACATGGCAGAAGGTTAATTGCTTAGATCTACTTCATTAGGGCACCACCAAAGCAACTTCTGACTATGCCTCCTACCCACAAAAAATAAGCAGGAGACAAGCCAGTCAGCCTCTATTTAAGAATTGCTCCCAGCTGTAGTCTGAGCTACTAAACTTGATTCCTCAAACACCTGTTATTCTTGGACAAGCTCATTTTGCACCATACTTCAGCAGCACAAAATGAAACTTTTGACCGTGATATCGGATGCATCATCACTCAAGGACTGACAGCTGTCGGAGCAAGAACAGTTACAAACATCGCTGTAACAGCATTCTCTGTGCTAGGAGATGCTGGTGGCTACAGCTTATAAGGGAAAGGGCACATCATTTTCCCTCTAAACTTGTTATACAAACCACCACCACAGCTTAGGGCAGTTGGCTCAGTGCACAGCTTTTACTACAGAGACTGAGAGAAGTCACACACCTCCCTCCTCCCACCACAAAGCCACATCACCACAGTCCGTAGTCTGCTGCTGCTGAACAGGAGTAAAATATCCTGTTGTGCGTCCACATGAGCACTTTGCTAACTCGTAACACGGACAGAGAGTCGATAGTGCCCTCTCCTGGCAAACAGCGCACGAAAAACGTTACCGGCAAAAATCGTAAAAAGAATCACCTCATTCTCCACACACACAGGAAGGAGGGAGGGCCACATGAAACACTAGCTGCCTACAGGCGGTTAAACAAGACCTCTGCACCTTGTGACCCACACTCAAAACTGGTTACAACTGGAAGCTAGCTGTCTGCTAAAATCAGGACTGATCTCAAAACTGTTTGACAGCACACTGATGACAGAATCATTATGTGGAGAGGACAAACTAGCACAATGGAAGTCATGAAAGGTACTTGCACCGTGATTGAGCTAGATTGGCAAGCTCACTGCTCTATCAATGTCTTTCAAATTTTTTTCACCTCTTTTTCTGGGTACACCTTTTCAAGTGTTAATTTAACCCAATATACTTTAATACGAGTTTACTAATCAGTGTATTGGTTTACAATACATCTAAGAAAAACAAAAGGAAAAAATACATTATTCACCTCTAACTAATACCTATATAAGCGATCTTTTGTCACTCTGTGGAATATAAAAGTCACCCTGAATGGCCTGGTATGGTAAGCTATAATAGGTTTATTTAAAAATACAGCTGTCCTCTCTGTGCACCGTGATCTTCTAGTCTTGTTAAAGAGCCTCTGTCACCAGGGCCTGGAAGACTTAATACATGACATTTATTATGATTAGAAATCATTTGTACAGCACTGTAAATTCACATAGCACTTTCCCAAGACCATTTATTGTAAGTCTAATGGCACTATAAATCCCAGTTAGCTTCCGCACTTTATTCCCTAGAATCTCTATTTATTCAAATTATCTTGTCCCCCCCCCACTGCAATCTTGTCTCTGAATACATTGAGTCACAGTCCCACACTGGGCTGCCCATCTCCCAGTGACAGGCTGGGTGGATTGCTAAAAGTGCCCTGGACTATATACTTCAAAATAACATTTTACTGTTAGAATCAAACATCCCTAACAGCAGCACGATAGTGACACAGATATTCGGCTTTTAGAGAGCAGTAGCAATAAATGCTGCTGTACGTATTAGTGTTCGCAGTGAACAGCCTTAACGCACACGAGCACTTCTTTCAATTCCTGTGATCTGCATTAAATTGCTCAAGCACGCATGCAACCAGCGGCAGGCCCTCCCCCCACCACCACACGTACTTGATGCTATCGGTGTGTGTTTTATATTCCATGATGGTGTTGGGAGGTAGGTTGAGCACTCTTCGTAACGTGTCGCGTATCCGGGCTGTCGTGGCTTGGTCGCTGGCTGTCTTGTTCCATATTGAGATAATATCCTCCTACAGAATAGCATGTGAGGGGTAAGCAGAGGGTATTTTTTGTAGCCCTGCCAAATGGAAGTACATGCCACTTCTCAGAAGTGCTTACCTGGAATCGGACAGAGACGACTGCCCCACAGATTTCTTCCCCCACCATAAACTGTTCTCCCAGCATTGCCAGAATGAGATTCTCCCAGCATCGTGATGCTAAGCCCTTTCGCAAGCGGATAATCCATTTACCACCATTTTTGTTGGCATCATCCTAGGAAGAGTGGCAAAAAAAAAAAAAAAAATCAATTTGTTTTCTTCTAGCTATTTTTCTGCTTCCCAGAAGACAGCGGAGCCACAAACGGGAGCAGATATTGATTGGGTGGGGCAAGGGACAGAGTGGAGGTATTTTCAAGCAAAAGCATTTCACTTCTCCCCCATAAAAACAAAGACAGAGGTATACTATTTACTTTGAATATGAAGTACTTGGAACAATAACTCTGCATTCCAGATGAAGCTCCATGCACTGAAGACTTGAGCTCTAGTGTTTTGATCCCACTAGCAAACACTAACAGCAGCCTACCAATCTGCATACAGAATCAGAGGCAAGTACCCTAAAACTATTCCTAAATGCAAGACTGACTCTCCCGCTGACAAGTTCCCTGTATATGTAGTTCTGCTTGTAAACAAGGAAAAAACCCTCATCACAGAGCATGGAAGGAAGGGAGTTTGTGAAGTGATAGTTAAAAGCAAGCAAAAAGTTGATAAACCCTCTCCTTCCACATTTGCAGAGCAGGCTCGTAAGTTGGACTAACCCAGAAAGGACCAGGCCACTCTCTAGGAATCACTGATACCATCAACACATCATACAGCTGAACGTTTGTTGCAGACTGTGGTGACCCAGGGAAATAACCGCAATGAGGAGAGTATGCTAAGCATCCAGACCATCGCCTCAATATTGTGATTCCATATGTTGCACCTGAAAAATTGCTGAAAACTGCTACAGACTCCCCTGCTTCACAGAATGCACACCTATGTCAAACAGCAGCTCCTCCTCTGTGCAGAATGCTGTGACTTTCTCTTGTACAACACTGTAGCTGGACAATCTTACAAGGCAAGAGGGGATCAAATTCCAACCAAAGCCAAAGACAGAGAGCTAGAAACAAGTCAAAGAGGTAGCAGTTAGGAAGGGAAAGGGAAGACAGGTCTAGGACAGAAACAGAGAAGAACAAAGGATAACTCGGAGACTGCAGAACACAGGACATCTCTGGCCAAATCACCAGCCAGCCCCTCTGCCAAGCTGGGACATACCTTGAAGATGCTAGGTAAGGCAGCTCAACCGTTCTTAAAGAAACAAACTTTTACTTCAGCCTTACAGCTTTTCTAGGGCTGAGATAAAACTAAACATTTCTGTGCTCTCAGAGGCAGCAAGTGCTAACAAAGCAATCCTGGGCAAACATGGAAGTGCCAGCCTAACAGCAGCATTCACCAGACCCCTATTTTTCAGGTATGTGCTAAAGCCTGTATTGAAAGTGGAAGGCATCAGCTTGGGATAAGCCTCAAAGCATGTCAGCAGCCACATGTATAGTGAAAAATCCAAATCAAGACAAGTTCTAGGAATGTGATATATTCCCATGAGATGCAAACTATTTTCTGATTCAGTGCCCTTGTTTTCCAAGTTGTGAACATCACACTCCAAGAATTAAGCTGTCTAGCCTACAGCCTTTAAGCAGGGAGTTGGGTTTAACTCCTCAAACTTTCCACAGTGACTAAGGGGAGTCAGAATAGAAATGGTATTGCTCAAAATGTTTCAAAGGTGGTTTAAGCAGGTTCAAGGCTAGAAAGAGAACAGGGATCAGAGGCAGATGCTGTACGGTGTGTTTTATGGTTATTGTTAGTTTTCGTTCAGGTTAAACAAGCTTTGGTTCAGTCAAGCATTTGATTTCCCTTTACCAGAATAATAATAATCTGCAGCCCAGTAAATCACCGGGGAACATTATGCCTAGTGCTTCTGACTTCACCCAGAAACAGCACAGATGGATCCAGAAAAAAGACCAGAGCTACATACAAGCATGTACATGCCTATAGGAATGACAGTAAGTAAGGATTAGTCTGGAAGAGAAAAGTAATATGAACAAAGCCCTACGAAGCAAGCAGCAAAGAGAAGGCCAGCAGCAAGATCCCAGAGCCTTTTCTATAAATACAAAAAGGGAGTGGGGCCAGAAGCAAAACCAAAGAATCTCTCCACCTCCGTCTTAAAATGTCTACAGAGAAATGCTTTACAGAAATTCTGGAATCATTAACTTGTGGACTCTCTGGCTGACACACTACCAGAGCAGCTCATGAGGAGTCCAAAGAGGGTTAAACGTTTTATATAAATTGTATTTGCAGTAACTGGCTATAAAACACCTTGCTTAGAATAACTGCCAACTAGGGTCACATATAAATTTCTCAGGACCAAGCAGCATAATTAGGTACTTCAGAGCAATACATAAAATCCTCATATTGTAGATGGTACTGGTCATTGCTGGAAGCAAGCCAGGAGCTGGAAAAATGATTTGTCTGGCAAAGACTTTTTCTTTTTTTCTTTTTTTTTTTTTTTTTTAAACAGGTTTGGATAGGAATGAACAGAAGCAAACTAGGTGCCCTGGAAAAAACCAAAAGGCAAATTAAGGGCTAAATCATTTTTCTGTCTGCAGTTCTATGCATAGATGTAGGCTTTTAACCACATCTACCTCTTCCTTCCTTGCCTGAAAAAAAGGAGAATCAGTTTCTTATAAACTTTGCTGAATTCTGCTTACAGAGGTCCAGCCCTTCTAGAGGAAAGCCCCACACTGTTGTCATCAGTCAAAGGTATAATAAAGGGCTGTCAGGAAGCACAGAGCTTAGCTGGGGTCCCCTCTTTTTTTGGCTCCAGGTAACAGGGCCCAGACAGCCTCTGGACCTACAGGCAAAGGCAGTTCTGCAATCTCTGGGGGAGTGCAGCTAGGAACTCTCTGCACCTTCCCTCTCTGCCAGCAGAGCAGTCACAGGACTGCTAGTTACATGGGAGAGTACCATTGACAAGTTTACAGGAAACCCAGAAGAAAGGACTGCACTCAAGAGAAGCCTGGAGTGCCACTTAATGACAAGAGTCCCTTCACTATAGAAGACTCCCTCCAGAATGCTCTGGGAAAATATCAAGGCAGAAATGAGAGTTCCAACTCACCTCCCACATAGGTTTGATCCCTTCTTTGAAAAGATGGAAGTCACTATGGCCTGTCAGGTCCCCAGGACGTACCATGTGACTGTAAAACCTCCAGAACTGCTCCACCTGCAATGACATGAACCATACATGAGGCTGCTCAAACTATTCACAGTCAAGATTCCTACAGAAACAGGATTCCCTTTCTTCACCAGCTGGCCAGAGCCACCTTCCACTTTTCTACTTTCTTGTCACAAGGGTGCTGATTGGGATACCCAGAAAGCAGTAGTAGGATCAGAGGTTGAGTGCATGTTTCTGACTGGCTCTGTTACCAGATGACCACTTGAAATATTCAACATGTGTCTCCAAAGTCACCTGATGTTTGTTTGAAGAAATCTGTGCCAAGATAACTGCTGCGCTGGAGAACAGTTGCAAACAGATCTTATAAATCCTACTGCTCAAACTTCCAAGCAGATCACCTACCTTTCTACACTACACACATTAGCCCTGCATTAACCACTGCCCTCTGCAACTGTGGAAACTTCAGGAGCATTCAGATGAGACACTTTTTGTATTTAATTTTACTCTATTCAGGTCTTAAGACAAAAGACACATTCTGGTGCTGGTTTAAGATCTTAAGAAACCATTTAGAACTTTGGTTGAAACATTCCTTTTGCAATCTGCCATGGTTGGATCACTTCACTTTGACCCATTTCCATTCCGACACTCCTGTGCCTACTACAGTTTGGCTGGAAGGCAAGGGAATTACCTTTCTAATTCTCAAAAATAACACATTTACCCTTTAAGATTCTCTGGATAAGAAAGGATTTTAGAGAGGCTGGATCTTTAAAACAAAAGAAGGCACTGGAAGACATTATACTAATTTCTGTATTTTAAGAGGATTCCACTCTGCAAGTCAATAGCTATTAAGCAGACCAGCGGTGAAGCTGGAGGGGCCAGACACCATCCCAAGTACCTCATCAGAGACCTTAATGACCTGGTCAGCACGTGGAATTCTGCTCCAATCTCTGACCTCTGCCACCCAGGCAGGAATTTGCTTTTGTAACCAATAACATTATGAACCAAGACTGAGGTGGGGTCAGAAACATTTGTCAGGCACATCCAAATACACCACGGAAATTATCTTCTTACATCGAGTGAATATGCCCTCTAGTGGTTAGCACTTAAAAGCTTTCGGAGCTTTCTACTGAAAAGTAAAGAATAAATCTGAACCCAGATTTAGGCTCAGACAATTATTTCAAAAGCTTGCTCTTCCTCTTCCTTAAAGAGAATTTGGAACCAAACACATTATCAGATCTGAATCTCTCTCCATCCTAACTGAAATCTAGCAGTTCCAACTTTCAACAGCACCCACAAATTCTTTGCAGCAAGACACAGACAACAGAACGTTAATTTTCTTCCTCTGAGGAGCTAAAAAAAAAAAATAATCAATGTTAAGTCTACACTGATTTAACAGACTGAAAATTTACACTCAGTTTATTTCAGGAATAAACAATGACAAAGAAGCAAAGGGGAAAAGGAAAGCTGCTTGCCTTTTAATAAACTTCATGGTAACACCAAACTGCATCTCAGTCATCACTTCTAGACAGAAAACAGGTCACCAGCTGCCTGTATACACACTTCACCAGATGCTTTTTCCAAACACACTGGTGGAAGTATGGGCAGGTGTCGTGGTTTAAACCCAGTCAGGTAACTTGTTCACTCACTCCCAGTGAGTGGTGCCGAGCTGACAACAATTGAGGTCTGCGTCCTGTCCCCCCCCCCCCCAGGGTTCTCCCCTTCCCCACTCCCGAAGGAACGGGGAGGAGGATCGAAAAAAATGCAACTCCCACAGGTTGAGATAAGAACAGTTTAGTAACTAAGGTATAACACAAATCACTACTGCTACCACCAATGATAATAATGATAAAGGAAAAAACAAGGGAAGAGAATACAACACCTCAGCACCAGCTGACCGATAACTCACCCCCCAAGCCCGACCAAGCTCCGACCGATACCTCCTTCAACCCTGCAGTCTCCCACCCCTTCCGGCTAACTCCCAGTTACATCCTGGGCATGACGCGCTGTGGTATGGAATACCTCTTTGGCTAACTTGGGTCAGGTGTCCTGTCTCTGCTTCCTCCTGGCTTCCCCTCCTCCCTGGCAGAGCATGAGGCTCACAAAGTCCTTGGCCAAACCAAAACATCCTTGTTATCAGCTCTGTTCCCGAGCTGAAAGTCAAAACACAGCACTGCACCAGCTACCAAGAAGGAGAAAAATGACTGCTACTGCTGAACCCAGGACATTATCCACCCCTTATTCCATACCATTCACGTCATGCTCAGATCCCACATTTTCAATATACTCTTATCTTAGTGCATGGACCAGTCCCTATAAAGCTGCTGAGTCCATGCTGTCAGTCTCCATCTCTTGTACCATTCTTCTAGAGCAGGAGAGACTGTGTGCAGTGTTCACACTTGTGAATAACCTGAGCAATAGTGTCCATTGCTAAGTCCACCCCTCAATCTTGAGTCCATCTCTATGTTGCATCTCTGCTCTGATAGCCTGAAGTGCCATGGGCCCACCAGGCTCAAAATAATTCACTGTCCCCTTAAGCAGTTTCTGCAGCTTGTTGCTGGGGACTCCATACAGCTGCCTTCCATCTCCAATGCTTCCAAAGCACTGGAGGGGCCCAGTGGACTAGATACTTGCCCATACTGTCCCACACACCCTGCCACTCATGACTGTCCAGCCTTGGGGAAAACCTCTTGGTCCCCCTATATTGTCATCTAACCCCAGACAAGACCCAAATCTGACTCTGCTTAACTTCTGAGATCAGACAAAATGGTTGTGGGTAGAACACAGCCTGTGTGTGTGCCAACATGCTGATCCCCATCACAATCAGCAGGCAGGTCCCAAGGATGCCCAAAGGCCATTCAAAACCTCCAGAACTCTCAAACGATGCTGCTGCACTTGTCACTGGGGCTGGTGTAGCTGCTGTGCTTGCCGGCTCTCCTACCACCAGCTTCTCTTTTCCTGAGTCCAGCTCTTCCTCCTCTGCCTTGCTGGGAAATGCTGCGTGGTCTCCTGCGTACTCCTGGGGCTCGGCGGGCGGCTTCCGGGGGATGCTCTCGGCCGTCACAGGGCTCAGCTTGGCCGCGGGGCTCGGCTCCTCCGCGGGGCTCGGCTCCTCCGCCGCCTTCTCCTGCTGCTCAGCAGCCGCCTCCTTCCTCTCCTCAACCGCCCCGACCTCCTCCACCGGCAGCCGTCCCCTCGCGGCCTCCGGCCCCGCTCCCGCCACCGCTTGGTCCCCGGGGCCGCTCTCCCGGTCCGCTTCAGCAGCCGCCGGCTCCCAGGGCCGCTCCCCCTCGGCTCCCCACAGCCTCACGAAGACGGAGGCGAGGACGAGGGCCAGGACGGTGAAGAGCAGCCAGACCGGCAGGTACAAGTCCACGGCCACGTCCGTCCCGCCCTGCTGCTGGAGCCCGCCCGTATTACAAGTCATTGCCATAAAGCACAGTGAGACAAGAACCTTAGCCCAAGCCCCACACTTGATAAACACTAACACAGCAAATACCAGCTCTAAGTAAGTTACAACATTCTGAAGCTGTGAGATCAACAAGAACAACTCTGAGACCCAATAAATCAGCATTGTGACGAGTGACTATTAATCCGGTCAGATCTGTCGTTATCTCAACCCTTCATGCCCCACGTTGGGCGCCAAAAAGAACTGTCGTGGTTTAAACCCAGCCAGGTAACTTGTTCACTCACTCCCAGTGAGTGGTGCCGAGCTGACAACAATTGAGGTCCGTGTCCCCCCCCCCCCCCAGGGTTCTCCCCTTCCCCACTCCCGAAGGAACGGGGAGGAGGATCGAAAAAAATGCAACTCCCACAGGTTGAGATAAGAACAGTTTAGTAACTAAGGTATAACACAAATCACTACTGCTACCACCAATGATAATAATGATAAAGGAAATAACAAGGGAAGAGAATACATCATCTCACCACCAGCTGACCGATAACTCACCCCCCAAGCCCGACCAAGCTCCGACCGATACCTCCTTCAACCCTGCAGTCTCCCACCCCTTCCGGCTAACTCCCAGTTACATCCTGGGCATGACGTGCTGTGGTATGGAATACCTCTTTGGTCAGTTTGGGTCAGGTGTCCTGTCTCTGCTTCCTCCTGGCTTCCCCTCCTCCCTGGCAGAGCATGAGGCTCACAAAGTCCTTGGCCAAACCAAAACATCCTTGTTATCAGCTCTGTTCCCGAGCTGAAAGTCAAAACACAGCACTGCACCAGCTACCAAGAAGGAGAAAAATGACTGCTACTGCTGAACCCAGGACAGCAGGGGAGAAGTGTGTGTGGGGAACTGTACAGTCTTTGCTTCCCACATATACTGCATCCAGAAAAGCTGTTCCTTCCTTCTCTTGCTTATCTGTCAAGTTCCGCTCCAGCTAGCGGTTTTAAACTACATGGGAGTTCTTTTAACTTTCTATTATTATTTCAGCTACCACCAATACTGCAGGCACAGATGGCTAGCACAGGGCAGAGGAGAACTGCTTAAGACATGTCATCTGCTGAATGTAATTCAAGACCTCATACTAAGTCATGGCATATCATTCACTCTCCTCTTGTTGCTCCTGACAAAACAGAGAACACAGCCTGCATGCACGTACTCCTAGCACACAGGGAGCAAGTCAGCCACAATGACCACGTCATGCCCAAGTGCACAGGGACAAGAGGGATATACTCACGGAGGCAAAGGTGCCAATCTGTTTGATGTTCTGTTCGTAACTCTGTGAGCTGGTGGGTCTCCCAGGTGTTCGTCTGGAGTACCAGAAGGTATAATTATACTGCAAGGGGTGCTCAGCTGGCCCTGGCACAACAGCCTGCAGAACACAAAAGCTTGCTTTACCCTTATGACCCACTCTAAAAGCAGAATAGGAAAAATTACATTTGTAGCATCAGAAGCCCACATGTTCCTGCCTTCACAGGCTATAAAACAAGCAACTAACCCTCCTTTTTTCAGAATCTCTGATAATTGTCTGAAATGGATGATTAGGCTAACAGCAGCTGACTATTCGAAAGAATATTAGAAATCTGCAGCACAGAGAAGGCTAAGGAAATAATAACAGAAAAAGGCCGTAAAAAAAACAACTCCCATAACTATTAGAGGCAGTATTACTAAATTTTCCTTTAGTCCTTAACTGTGCCTGTCTCAAAGGGAAAAAGACAAACTAAAAGGGCAATGCAAGAGTTTTATTTCAAATTAAGAAAACAAAAAATAAAATCCCCAAACGCTCTCTTTCTCTGGGAAAAACAAGAACCCATATACACCAAACCATGATTCAAAAGCAATTATAACTCTTCGGTGACACCAACTCCCTCAAGCAACCAACACCCTAACACTCTGGGAGGATCAGTCTCAGAACTCGTTATGTCAGCTTTGGCGGAACCCATCACCAACAGTGGGTAGTGATCATTTTTCAATTTCCAAAACACCCATTTCTGATTAAAAACACTCCCAATGAGCACAAAAGACTTTAATGGGAACTCACTGACCAGGAGTCAAAACTGACATTAAAATAAAAATGAACCAAAAAGTCCTTTTCTTCTATCACTTGATGTTGTATCAAGAGTTACTAGGGCTTTAGTCTACTCTCCTCTTGTCTGTGGAAAGTTTGTAAGGACTGCCTTACTCCAGACAGAATAGTTTTCCTAAGAACAAGATTAAAATAATAAATGAAACAGGATGGATATATGCTTCTTAACTAGGCTACACTGCACATACAGAGACTCACCCTAAGAGTTATTACAACAGTGGCACAAACACAACGTGGTAAAACAACTGCAAGCCACTACTCCCCTGTCAACCAGCCCTTCCCCTACAACCTCTTCCAAAAATTATTTTTTTCTTTTTTAAATAAAGCTTTATTTCTCATTTTTATTCAAAAGCCAGGCAGAGTACTAGCTGAGTTTGTGAAGGGAGCATTCACCCACCTCCAAAACCTACAGCAAATTATCCAAATGCTAACGTAGCCCCTGTCTTCATATAACAGTAACAGAGCATAAAGCTACCACAGCCCACCAAGACATATTTTCCTTATCCCCAGCCTGAGGACTGACTCTGTAGCACACCAACATCATGCCTTAGCAATGGAATGCAGATGCCAGCACTGTACCTTCCTCTTGGTGGTACTCTGTGGTTTCTCTCGATCGTTCTTTTCCTTCTCACTGTCTTTCTGTGTGTTGTTCTCCTCATTCTGGTCATGGTCTCCACTGTCATCATCTTTCAAACTGATAAAGAAACAGAACAAAGAGAGTGGGTCTTATGTTGCACAGCTGAGGAGGTTTAGACCAAGCCCCAGCAGTCTCTGCTTCTTAGCTCCTCTGTAGTATAAGGGCTACCAGAGTTTGGAAATCTACATTTGACAACCCACACAGTAAAATCTACTACTACTTTGCATACCCAGAGTCCATCACAGGCATTTCAGACACATACTTTAAAGCACAAGCAGGCAACAACATGCTTTTTCAGAACAAACTCGAGCAGTCCGAACTAGGCATTTATCCGCCGCAGACACCCCCAGCTACCTGTCTGGATCCCTAGCTACTCAGGAAGTAAGCACGGAAGACCCGTCACTGTAACTTTGCTGACTCGCTCCTGCTCACCTCCCCACGCCTCTAAGCACACAGAGACAGCCCCTCACGCAAGCAAGCAGACACCTGAACCCCACGGGTCCCTCTGCCCACCCCATTCCTTGCGAAGGGCCGGAAAAGAAGAGGGAAAAACGGGGCCAAAAGGCGGCCCGCCGCACGGCCGTGCGCGCTGGGGGATGCTCCGCCACGAGCAGAGCCTGGCGCCGCCGGACCCCTGCCCCCACGCCTCGGAGCCAGGCAGCGCCTCCTGAGCAGGGCCGGGCCGGGCCGGGCCGGGCTCGGGGGGCAGGAACGGAGCTGCGCGCGCGGCCCCGTGACTCATCGCATCCGGCTCAGCCCGCGCCGAGCCGGCGGGGAGGGGAGGGGAGCGGAGCGGCCGGTAGGACGCTGGGCCTCGCCGCCCTCCGCAGCGGTGACGGGGGTACTGGGGACGGTCACATCACACCGCCAACTCACGCGTCGAATTTGTTGTTCATCGTCGCTCGCTGCCGCCACCTCCGTCCACCCCAGCGACTTCCGCCCCGCCGAGTCCAATCTCCAAAGCCTTCCGCCGCTTCCGCCAGCTGTGCCCCGCGCTTCCCCACGGCGCCATAAGTATGGCGGACGACGGAAGGGGAACAAGAACGCTCCCGGTTGCCATTTGAGTGCGGACTCTGCCGGGATCCCCGCTGCGGGAAAGCCGCCATCTTGAGTGTGGTGGGCGGACAGAGCCACCATGTTGGGTGTGGCGTGAAGCGGGAAACTGGCGTGAGGTGAGGTGAGGTGCGGCGTCGAGCGGCCGCCTCGCACGGCACGGGAGCAGCCAGTGGGTCCACGCACTGTGCCATTTTATTCACGGAGTTCATTTGTCTCTGGTAGGTGCAGAGTCAGTCACTTTTTAAGGGGCCTGCCCTACCTTTCTCCTCTGCTGACAGCAAGTCCTAGCCCCGGCACCATCCCTATCTTTTCAGTGTATAGTGAGGGACAGCAGAAGTCTTGTACAGGTGCTGTTGCGGGATGTCATCAACGTCTTTCACTCCATCCCGTGAATGGATCTGTCAAGATCAATGACTCATTGCTATGGCTGTTGATGCTATTTCTCTAGCATGAGACATGGGTAGAGTTCAGGGAAAGGAAGCTACCATATAAGTGAAGAGCCTGCAACACCTGGAACAGCAGATGATAAGGGACAGTTTATAGAGGGCAGGGGAGACTGCCCCTCCTCCAGCGTTTCCTCATACTTCCTGAATCCACTCCAAAGCTACCCTTTGTGTACAGAATCTTCTCATACTATTTTTGCAAACCTCTCACCAATAATTTCTGCTATCTGGCAGATTTACTAAATGGATTTCTGAATGATGTAGTTTCTGTTTCTCCAACAATTTGTGATATGGAGAGAGAGCAAATCCATAGCCTGTAGTTCAGGACTATGAAAAAAGGGTATTCAACATATTTAAGGTACTACATGCCCATGTTAATATACCGTCAGAGTGTATTTTTCCCTGCAAAGCACAGAAACACGGTGCTGATATTTCTGTTTTACTCTTTGGAAGCAAAGGCAATGGGTGCCTCAGCAACATTCCCCAGAATCACAGCAGTATGGCAGAATGGGAAAAAAAGGGGTCACCCAAGTCTCAGGCCAAATATCTTTACCACTGGAACACCATCCTGTTGTTTTATGGGCTCAAATCTGTGTTCATAATCTTAGAAGACATAGAAAATAATTTAGAAATAAATACTAGCAGAAATAGTTTAAAGGTTCATAAAGAATTTCCTAGTTAGTTGCAGTTACACGTAAATGGGATCTCTGTGCTCTGAAGACCAGCAGTTTACAAAAATATTTCAGAAAAAAATGTGCTATGCAAATTATTTGCAAAATCACCACCTCCATTTTTTTTGCTACCTAGGCTTTACTATGGAAATAAATAAAGATATTTATGGAGATAAATAAAGATAAATAAATGTAGCAGGAGATCAGATATTAAGAAAGTCTTGGCCTGTGAAACAGTGACTGTAGGACAGCTGTAGGTAATATTGAGGATTGCTCTTACCTGCAGAAAACAGTGTAAAAGCTTCTCTGTTCATAGTTTCCATCTTGTCTGTGAAATGACCAGGGTTAAACTGTCAAGGGCTCTCCCACTGCTCTTGATTATACAGGGCAGAAAATACGTTGGGGAAAATTAAGGCGCCCCACTGAAAGACAAAATGAACATACAAGGATCTTCTTCACAGAGCCAAAAACTAATGGCTTGACTTAGACTGCAAAGATATCAATTGCTCACTTGAAATTGCCCAATGCAAGTGCCAAGTAATTATTCTGGAGTGAAAAATAGGGTCGCACTGTGCTATCTCATACAGAATGGCTTATTTTGACATTATTAGATGCTCTTAAAGAGTTATTTTAGAACACCAGAGAATGCAGTAATTACAGTCATCAGAGACTTTGGGGAAAAAACCCAAACACCACTGAACTGCAGGCTGGACACTGATCAAGACCCCTGACTCTGATCTTGATTTTCTCAAAGACATGTTCCCCTAAAGCCACATAGATATTATCCATTGGGAAGCCAACCCTACATGAGGTTGGGTATGGATTTAAAGTACTCTGCTGATACAATAAATGCATATACAAACACTGTTATTCTAGAATTTCGGGGGGGTTTATATATAGCTTGTACCATTTAAAAGAAACCTAGGGTCATTATACTGGTACCTTTATACTGATCTAATGCTTGAAATACTGTATATTAAAATGATAAAAGTAAACTGTAAACTGTATGGAAAAATGGTAAAGCTGTGCAAAAGGAGAGGTGTACAGGTTTATTCATATTGTAGGATGTAGGTAATGTCCAGCATCCTATTCACAGTGAAGAGTTCCTCAAAAGTTGTTCAAACTCACCTTTGGATAGTTTTGCAGCCAGAGACAAAATGTAAGAGAGATCTATTGCTTGGCTTTACTCTGTCTAAGGATTGTCCCCAAACCTTTGTGGTGTTAATATACCTTAGTGGCATTAATATCTCCTTAGTAATAGGGAAGTCTTGCAGTGTGGTAGCCTGGGTACTCATAAACCTTGTGCTGCTATAACACATAATCTCATTTAGAACTGCATTTGCATATAGCAGGATCATTTGGTTCTTATGTTTAGTTCCACAGGATGGACCAATGACAGCATCCAACTCTTCTTGGACTTGTTCTGCAGAACAAAAGGGCTAATAATGAGTATTTAAGAAGGTATCTGATGTGTAGACTCTATGCAGAAATTCAAAATTCCCAAGACACCTTATGCTGCAGGTTTAAGCACCTGATTCAAAGGCATTTTGACTATTACCCTGCCGTGAGCAAGGACAGAGACATGTATAAGTGTGGGTACACACATTTCTCACCTTGTACTTCCAGATGCACCATCATGGAGAGCTCAGCATAAGGTGATGGTGGTGTCTGAGCCCACTATGAAGAGGTACATGATCTCTCAGATCTGTGATGTAGAGGGTGGGTCATCTTTTGCCTATAGATATGAGACAGACAAGAAGATTTAAGGCTGTTTTAATAGCATAGCAAATCTCAATCAACAGAGCTTCTTTTCATCCCAGAGTGCATACTGAGTTGAGGAAGTTGGTAAGACAGCAGCCATGTAGCTCTGTTAAAAAATAATCTTGCTGACTGAGAAAGACAGCACACAGTAAGTTTTCTTTCAGTCTAGGATGGAACAACATTACTCTGTGCTGGCTGCCAAAGAACACAACCTCAGCACCTTCAAAAAGTACTTTGCTTTAGAGGCTGAATTCAAATGAAGAAATAACTGAAAAGTATCTCAGGAGGAAAAGGAAGTAGGAGTGCAGCTGGAAATGTCTTAGCTAAAAACATTTTAAATATGTTGCAGCTGCACAAGAGAAAACTACTTGTTGCCTTTAACGTGAGCTTAGTATGCATCAATGAAGTTCTGTGGCTCTGCAGGCAGCCAGCTCTTCCAGTGGTTCCTGATCTCATCGTTTTCATAGGTCCTGCAAGTGTGTTAGTGCCCGCAGCAGTCTCATTAACATAGTGCTTAAGTGCCTCAACAGTGAGAGGAAATTGTTGTAGAACTGTGCTCAGAAACACAACCACAAGGAACACCATGACATCTTGGCTTCATAGTGCATTTAAAGCTTGAATCATAGACTCATAGAATAGTTAGGGTTGGAAAGGACCTTAAGATCATACAGTTCCATCCCCCCTGCCATGGCCAGGGACACCTCACACTAAACCATGGCACCCAAGGCTCTGTCCAACCTGGCCTTGAGCACCGCCAGGGATGGAGCATTCACAGCTTCCTTGGGCAACCCATTCCAGTGCCTCACCACCTTTACAGTAAAGAACTTCTTCCTTATATCCAATCTAAACTTCCCCTGCTTAAGTTTTAACCCATTACAATATTCACAGCAGAACCATGCCTAACCATTGCTATGACCCAGATGTCTTACTTAGCTGACTACAGGAAATAAATGACTACTTGATTTTTAAAAAAATTATCTTGAAGGGAAGTGTGTGAAGGATGATCGTAACTATACAGTTAACTTTCCAGATTGCCTGCTCTCCACTAGTAAATTTCAGATTTGAGTGATCTAAATGCCCTTGAGTACAGTTTTTCTTCCATGTGAAGTCTTTCCAAATTCATCTGCTCCCTGCTAAATCTTAAATAAACACTTGGCTGTAGTTCTCAAAGCCACAACCATGTTAGCTTGTCTTTTGTTTTGTTTTGTTTTGTTTTTTTCCTGGATAGTTCTTGCAGCCCAGTTTAACACAGGAGATAAGGGCCATTACAAAACCCTTTAAGGCGCAGGCTAAGAGGGAAAACCTGATTCTGGCTACAGGGCAAACTTGGTACTGAATAATGTCAATATAAAATTAGATCAGTCTCTCTGAAGGCACCTCTTGCTAGAGATTGAATGGGCCTGTAAACAAAGCAAGCCAGGAACAGTTGGGGGGGGGGGATCAGAAGTGAGTGCTGGTTTTAGCAGAGTTAAGAACTCTTCTTCCTCTCTGTGCATTGACAAACAACTGTTTAATGCCACAGCTCACTGAGAAATGCTGTCAAGCTTTGATAACAGTTACAGGGAACAGGTCAGTCCCTGCTTATCCAAAGCTAGGAGGTGCCATGGAATTCTGACATGGCCTGGAAGCCTCTGAGCAGCCTGTGGCACATGGCAGTCTCTGTAGAGAAACTGTGTCCAAAAAGCACATCAGCAACCATGTCGTTGATGGAAGTGGGGATTGGGACAGAGAGATCCATGCTGACAAACAGGAAAGCTGCATCGTTAACTTCTTTCATAGGCTGTTTTGTTTACACTGAACTCCCATCCAGCCTGCTCTTGATTTGCATGGGATTACACAAATAGCTGAGCCTGCAAGAATCAAGATGCAGAAGTCTAACTAGGAGACTATTCTGCAGGCATCTTTATAATGAGTGAGGGAAAGAGTCCATCCTATAGAAAAGTGCATAATCAGCACAATTTAAGAGTCTCTCATCTATCACTTTCTCCCATAAAGGATTGACATGAAAGCAGTGAGTCAGGCGTGATGTTCCAGTCAAGGGCAGAATGAATTGTGAAAGCATCAGCTGTGTAAACCTCCCATCAAACCTACTGCAGAAATTGCTACTTCCAATAGAAAAAGCAGGGTTGGCAACAAGGAGAATGAACCTATGTCATCACAATCACCTATAGATCTATTATTTCATCTCTTTCTCTGGCAAAGACCTCAATCAGGCAGCAAGCCAGGCTTCCAGGCTTTTTTTCTCTAGGCCTAGGTTGCTAAGAGCTGTCAGATTGAAGTGTCTCTGCTCCTTCCAGGTGTGCCCATTGGCAAAGATAATGCCTGCAACAGAATGGGGAAGAACTGGGCAGAAGTATGGGACTGACACCTCCATAAGCAGGACTGGTGCAATTGTAGTGGTTCCAAGATTTACCACCATGAGTTTGAAAGGCTCCCTAGCAGTATTTATATGGGGAATCAGAGGTGTTGATGCTGATTTTTTCACATCTACTTTACCATTTCTGCGGGAAACAAGTTCCATGCCTGTCTCCTTTTCTGCTTCTTTGTCTAGAACCATGCACTCAAAACATGCTGGGTCCTGCTAGCTGACATTTTTACAGTTTTACATCTTTTAGTGCAAAGACTTCTTGGTAACATGCTCAGTAACTAAGAACTGAACAGGCTATGCAAGTAAATGGGAAACACATGAATTTTGTGTGCTGAATGTATATTTGGGGCCCAGCGTGAGAAGGACACAGAGCAGTGGTTCTACTGCATTCATCTTGCTGCCAAAAGCAGCTCATCTTGAAAAGAGGCATTAAGAATAGATGAGGTCATTGTACCAAACTCCATTCTCTGAACAGCTTGTTCTGCTAAAAATGTTTCAGTACACACAACAATGGAAAGTTCTGTAAGGGCCTCCAACAGCATCTCTAAAAAAGGATGCCACAGGTCTCTCACAAAATTATTCTGCATGCCCAGGGCATCCTTCGCTGCTTGAAACACGTTCAGCTGCATCAGTGGTGTTTTCCTCTCAGTGTATGTACTACCCTACATCCTGGCCACCCAGAGAAACATGATGACATCAAGATATGAGGCATTTTCAGAAAGTCCTTTCCACATCTTAGTGGTACTCTTATGCCAGAGCTCCAAGACCATTTCTGTTACCTAAGGGCTGTTTCACAGCCTTTGGCATTGCCCAAGAAATGGGTGGGAGAAATTTAATCTTGCTGTCAGGAAATGAGAGGTTGGAATCATGTTTCACTATTAAAATCTTAAAAGGCTTTCACTGTTATTAATGTATTTCATTATTATTCATGGCTGTTATTCACATATCAGCAGTACACACAGCCATCATCGCAACAACCAGTCATGTTACCCAGAATGGGATTTATTCCATCTACATTGCCCCACCAGAGGTCATTGATGGATACTGCAAAATCATAAATATTGCTTTTATTATCTTTCCATGTTTATTTATTTTCTGATCGTACAGCTACTTTGGTGTATCAGTATTTACACAAGGAACAGCCTTCATCGTTAAAGTAGAAATTATAGTTGCAATTAACATGTGCAGCCATTAGATGGGAATGTTTGCTCATCATTGGACTGAGCATTGTGCTTGCTAAGGCTGGCACAGTGAGGCAATTAAGCCAAACTTTTCAAACAGCCGTTGATCTGGAGTATCTTATCGGAGATGTGTTGAGTATCATGAGCTGCTTGGGAAGGACTTAGCTCCTACAGATTCTACTGATTGCTGCCAGAGTTTAGGTTCTCAGTAGTTCTGCAAATCAGAACTGTCTCTGGCACCTGTAAACTAGAGACCAGTTTTAAACTCTTCAACCCTGAGTGGTTGAGAAAGACCTAATTTCACAGAGGAAGGGAAGACAAGATAGTGGTACCTTGCTCAAAGGTTTAGGATTTCAGATAGGAGCATCAGCTAGCTTGTGACTATATGGGATAGGAGGTAAGGATGAGGTGCTAGATGCACCATCCCTGGAGACATTCAAGGCCAGGCTGGACGTGGTCTGAACAACCTGATCTAGTTAAAGAAGTCCCTGTTCATTGCAGGGGGGTTGTCCTAGATGACCTCCAAAGGTTTTTCTGAGAAATTGCAGCACTCTGGTAATATATGATGGACACTTGAAAGATGAAAAGGCATATCTCTGCTGTAGGGATTTCGAGGGATCTGGTAAAAACACACCATTTATAAAGCTGAGGAGAGTTTCCATGTATCCTGCTTCTGCAGTTTGCACATTGGAATCCACTGGTAATGTTCTACTGCTGAACTCACATATGTGGTTCAGGAACATCTATAAGCAGGTTTGCATCTCTCTGGAGGCGGGTGCAGGCAAAGGCTCCTCCTTTGCAATTTTTGGAAACAAAGGTGTAGCTAGGAATTCTAAAATATGCTGACCATGCTGAAAATGCATGCAAATATGATCAGGCACCTACTGCTGCCCATTGCTGTGAGCAATGGCTGTTTTCTGTAAGTGAGAGTAATTTGAATAATTGTTCTCGCACCAGTTGGAGTCCAGTTTTTTGCCTTAATAGCCCAAGTAAGATGGAGAGGAAAAGAGAAAAAAGTGCTTGAATCCCTGAGTTGGATTCCATCTAGAACCCAAAGGAACTGCAGAGCTTGTTTTTTCTCCTCTACCTGGGAAAATAGGGACCTTTGTTGCTGCTTCTAGTCTCATACCTCCTAGGCTTACAGACTCCTTTTTACCAGTATTGCTGCATTTCTCAGAATAGCCAGAGATGTGGTCGTAGCATGAATCCTGAGCATGAATCCTTCCTCCAGGAGCACATGGAGAAAGAAAAGGATTCTGTGGGTCTTGTTTGGTAGATGCAGTGTGTAGACCACATTGAAGGAATGTCAGTAACTTCACACATCTTTCTGTGCCTCTACACTCTCCAAGGGAAAAAAAATAAAAGAGCCAGAAAACCAGTGCGTTGATACTCTACCATACCAAATACAGTGTCACCTAGGTGCAGTTCTGTGCCACTGCTTACTTATGTAGTCAAAAGGATTAAGGTTTTTCAATCAACCTGGTTGTTTTGCAGTGCGCATCAACTCTGATGATTACTGACACTTGCAACACCTTCCCAAAACAAGCAGAACTCTGGGGAAGAGAAACTTCTGTCTTAGAGCAACCTGCAAAATCGTAACACCACAGGTAACAAAGCTTTTCTTTGTCCTTTCCCCTTCATGCCTATCCCCAGTAGGAAGGACTGACCTGGAGCAGTAACACCTCCAGTATGCTGCAGTCTCATCTGCGTTTCTGCTCCTACGCTGACCAGGCCAGGCCTCTGTCTCAGGAAGCCTTCCAGGGCCTTGTTGTGCCAAGACATAACCAGCCAGTGGCCATATAAGTGGCAAACAGCCAAAATAAGGGGTACAGGATTCAAGCAAGTAAGCTTTGCTATCTGCCTCTCATTGGTGAGTTTTGCTTATTCTTCCTGTTTCCTTTCCTCCTTCCTTGAAACTTGTCCTGTAGTGACAGAATTCCTTAGGCATTATTTTTGACTGGGGACCATTCAGTGATTTGCACCACTTCCAGCTGTTGCTACAGGCCCTTTCCATTCACCCCTACACCTCTCTAAAGTCCAGCAGGGAATCACAGGGGCTGAAGTTCTGCTTAGAAAGTTCACAGTTCACACTAAACCCAGGAAGGAACAGAAAGATGCTTTTGCATTCTAGCCAAGGTTATGTTAGGAGTCTACACCTGAAATACTCATAAAACTATAAAAAGTATCAGGGTGTTTCGCGGGGAATTTGGAAGTCCAGTGTCCACAGCTTGCCAGTTAGGGGTAGCGGAGTCAGTTCTGGAAATAGCTTCCTTTGGCCTTCTGGGTGTTCAGAAATACCAGAGAAATCCAGACACAAAGAAAGACAACACCCCCCACAAAAATTTTACTTCTAGAAAACATTGTGTCCTCATGTCCCTTCTTACTCAGCTGTGACCTGCTAGCTGCAGAGCCCCCAGATCCACACTCCCACAGGCATTAGTCCTGCTGGAGCACTTGGACAGCACAGGCAAATTAACATGTCTAGTCCCAAGTGAATGCAAATGGAGTGTGTCCCTTGAGATGTGCATAGAGTGAGCAGGAAGAACAGGTCAGGTGAACTGAGGTGGGCCACTTTTTGACTATCACAGTGAGAACAAGGATGGTACCCCGCTGTGGACATTAGCTTAGACTTTAAAGACCTGGTTCAATTCCCTGTTGTGCTACAGATCTCTGTGATTCTGGGCAAGCTGCTTCATGTGGTTTCATAGTATAGCCAGCCTGTAATCTGTGTATAAACAAGATACCTTGAAAACAAGTAGTCACATCCCTTCATTTTCCCTTTCACTGGGGCTGGATCTAGCAACCACAGAGCTATAAAGTGACTGGATTCATATGGCTGATCTGGTGGAAAGCCTTTTGGTTTTATCTGCAGTAACAGTTTTCTGCTGGCTCAGCAGTCTGATCACACTCACCTGCTGGCTGCTGTCTCAGTAAGCAGTGTGAAAACATGGCCAAGGACAAAAGACGCAGGACCACCCCTTTTGGCAGACTCATTGATCATTTTAGCTGCAGTGCAAATCTTTGTCTGTATCCTGTCTACTTCAGAGTCCCTCCTGCTTGAGCTCCTAGGGCTCTTGCTGTCACAAATACATTCCCAGTTAACTACTCCAGTGACAATAGACAGAGAACTACCCTGTACAGAAATTATATTACACTCTCTGGTGATTGTTTCCTTCTAATGCACTAAAACATTCTCAGCTAATGCCCTAATAAGATTTTATATGCAGTAACTGTATGGATGGCTCCAGGATGGAGAGACATAATAATGGGAAAAATTTATGGAAGACTAAAACCAAATCTAATAGATTTGATATTCTTCAGAAACATTGTGAAAGACAGCAAAACATTGCAAAATACTTCAAAAGACCATGCACAAGAGCCCCAGAATTGCCAGCACTGCTTTCTGCCCAAATAAACCTTTCTCTGAGATTTTTTTTTTTTTTTTTTTTTTTTTTTTTTAGTTTTGTCCATCCTCAGTATCAAGAATTTCAAGGACTTTCACCGGACTGTCTGGCACTGCTCAGAAGAAGCTGTACTGGGAGATGAAAGTGGTGACCTCTAAGGAAAAATGTTTTTGATCCTGTGTTGCAGCTGGATGTTATGAATGGGAGTTCCTCCTCTCATTGAACGTGCAACTGAGAGCACTACTGCCTCATCAGGACCACCCTGGGGGAGGCTTAGGAAACTCCTTGTGCTCAGCAGCATACTTGCAGGGACATTACACTCTTCTACTGTCATCTTACAGGCTTGTTACATGCCCAGCGCCCTCTGCTTTCATTCTGACTCTCATGGAAAGGAAGAAAGAATAACTACATTTTGCCAAGATGCAGGGCAGCAAGATGAAGCTGATGGGCCTGGGTGGGTCCATGATCCTCAATGAGTCAAAGATGTGTTTGTCAGTTCACAGAGAGTACAAATTTCCAGTTGGATGCAGTTTTTCAAGTTTTTACCTTTACGCTCTGTGCTGACCTTGGTGTGTTCTCTGAGAAAGCACAGTCCAAGCGGTTTTTGCATGTGACCTCATTAGTCTCCCCTCTTCTCTGGCATAAGTCAAAATATGGAGCAGTGCCCAGTGCAAAGTGGTTGCTCTGGTTTCTGTTCCTGCCAAAAATAGGTCACAGAGAATCCAGTCCAGGTTGTCTTCAAATTGCAGAGCTTGGATTGCCTTTAATTTTCAGGCAAGAGAGAGAGGTGAGTTTAGAGTACAGCAGACATTACAACATGTGCAGTCATTGACCCCAGATGACTTCAGCAAACAATGTTTTGCAGAATCTCTGATTTTCCAAAGCAAATAAATGTGGAGAGTAGTAGGAAATAGTAATAATATGTCATAAGTCTCTGTTTCTTCATGTCTGAACAAAGGATCCTGTCTTGTAGGCAGTGCTTTGAACGAAGTGCTTTAAACGATAGCAAAAGATCAAGCTGGAAGTTTTTTAATGGCAGATATTTCTTTCAGAGATGCTGACTTCAGAACACCCCATGGGGTTTTCTTATTTCAGTGAAAGATTTAGAACAAATTTATAGAGTCCCACTGTTCCACCACTGTCTTCCTGTGTCATCCTGCAGGGACAGGGCCCCCTGGTGAAGATCTGTGAGATGGTTGAGGAGCCAGGGCAAAATATTGTAAAACCAGTGGAAAATACCAAGCAGCCTTGCCTTTATACTTTCTATTTAAATTCCTAGCAGCGCTCTCAACATATTCAAGCATCCAAGATAAGTGTTAGCAGTAAGATCTGCTATTCAATTTTACCTTTTATTCTGCCTTTCACGCTTTGTCCTGTGGATCATATCTGTATTCTTCGGGGGTTTTTTTTATACTTGTATTGACCATTATTCAATCTGTGCTATTTATATTTGTTATTTTCTTTCTTTTGTAGGACTCCTCTGTCTCAACCTTTCTACATCTGCAGGATATGATCTTCAAGCAGTTGTTTAACTGGTTCTCTTGGAAACAGCTACATAGAACCAAAGGCACTTACAGGAGGTTGGGAGGTGGTACCCAAATTAAGCATGTCATTCACAATTCCTCTGAATCATGTTCTTTACATGATCCTCATAGATAAATGATTGCTGTAAGTGCAGCAAAACCACTAATCAATATTTTCTGGTCTGTACTCTGTTGGATTGTACCAATGTCTCTTTTGAGGGTGGTAACAGAAAGCAGCAGCCCACAGCCAGTGAAAGTATACAATGGAAGTGGTAATCCTGGCAGCTTTAGTAGTAAGATAGGTAATACCATTTCCTCTCTGCAACTCTAATCACAAGAAAACAGAAGTGAAGCTTTCTACAGCAGAAAAGAGATTACATCCTTTTAACTGCCTTTTTTGTAACCTTGCACTATTACTGCAATCAATAATTTCAAGAAAGCTTATTCCCTAATTCTTATATCTTGTATAGTGATATGGTCATCTCTGCATGCTCTGCTGCACATTAACAAGCTACATATAACAAACCCCTCTGAAGGAATATTGAGTGCTAATGTATGATAGCACAGGTTGTTCCCAGGTTCCCAGCACTGATGCGTTGACACTGAACAACACTGAAACGGGAAAATTCTAAAGTCTTACCTGGCACTTGACAAAACCTCTGAAAATTTGCTGAAATTTAGTGGGGCCTCTGGGACTTCCACACTTGGTCTGCTGGCATCCCACAGGGCTTATATTTAACATCGCCTGGTATGGATTTGTCTCTTCAGGAGCACCTCTCCTGTGTCATCTGAGAGCATACCAGTTGCCAAGGAAGCTCAGAATTAAAAGAGAAATGGTAAATTCTGATAATTGCAATGTTAGAAAGTATAGAAACAATGAAGTAGAAAAATACATGTGAAATAGATCCCTTCTGCAGGCAGACACCAGGTCTCCTCTCGGTCATCCATTCACTGCCTTAACTATAAGCCAGCAGTGGCAGATCCTGTCTTAGACCAGACCCAGTTCTGAGTCACCATGGCTCTGACAACAATACCTACCAACAGTTTGGACCTCGCTATGGCAGTGGGGTCTTCATTCTCCTTCCTTCTGCATATGTTTAAGAGCATTTGTCCTTGTTGCAGCTTGGGTAACTGGCAGGCACAGTTAACAGCACAAAGAATTCACCCTCTCAGTTTGTGTATTTCTTGGACACACATCGCCTGTGGCATGTTGATTTCCTTACATGGGAACCATCTTCCTAATCAGAAGATCATTCAATACTGGTTTTACCTGGTTTCTCTTTTCCCAGGATGGGTGGACTGTCTCTCCTAGATGATATGGCTTTCCACATAACAATCTCCATGGCTCTTCGCAAACAAGCAACATTTGCATTAGAAAATTTAGAAAATTAGAAATCAGATCTGTGTAACACTTCTGATTCATTCTGAGTCAAAGTGCTGGGTTGTGTCCTTGAAGGCAAAACACATACCTCTTTGAATGCCAGAGTTGCCAGTCATTTTCCCCTCCTCTAGCAGCTTGAGAATCCAGGCCACTCCATGACATCCTTAAGTCATGTCTCTCCTTTTGCTGCATACTGGAGAGAATTTTTTACTGAGAATTTCTTATTCATGAGGTCACACTGGAGAGCGATAGACCTTAAAGAATAATGGGCTGGGGAAGAGCAGGTCCTTAACTGAAATGTACTAGTGACTATATTTATTACCACCAAATATGGCAAAAGGAAGATAGGTAGGCTGGTGTCATTTAGGCTGGTATTTTTTTAAGGAGAGAGGCTTAAATAAAACCATATTTACTGTGCAGAGTGCCACAGATTTTTCTGGAAGTTCAGTCCTGCTGAATACCTTACCACTTTACCTCTGTAACTTTATTTTAACTCTGAAACCTCTCCATTAGGCTGCCTGCAGTAATAAACTGAAGTTTTTCAAATTGATTTAGCTATTCCCTGAGGGTTAAAATACTGCTTTCTTAACTCAGTTTTGTCTGAGTCACACACACTCCATTTTCATTCCCTCTTAGGCTCGGAAGGCTCCCCTAAATCCACCTTTTTCTCCATGAACTCTGGCAGTGATGTATATTTTTGCAAGAGTAAGCTACAGATACAGCATTATTCAACATATAACACAATTTATTTACACAGCATCTTTGGATTATTTTATTATTTATCTGCCTGCTACTTTAAATATGTAAGTTGTGTAACTTCCTTCAGATGTTGTGTGACTGTGGTGCTATCTGAAACCAACACAGCCTGAAGCCTGTTTCCAGCAGGCTGGTCTCCTTCTCTGGTGATGTCCTTCACTCATCACAGCTCAGACACTGCTAGACTAGGAAAAGAAAACTGGAGCTGCTAATCACTCCCTTCTCTCCTTGCTGTTCCCCGTTTGTCCTCAATGCTGACCAGAAGAGAGCTGAACTTCTTTTACTCCTACAGTAGGAGAGAGGCTTGTCTTCTTCCCACCACTTCTCTACACTTGTAATTTTTCTTTTCTGGAACCTCCAGCAGAGCATGGGCAGTTGGGGTGAAGTATGTTTAGTATATGACACTTTTCCACCAGCTATTTCTCAACTAGTGTGCTGTAGTCTCTCAGCTCCTACTGAGAGTTGCTTCTCCCTCAGAGGGGCAATTGTGAAAACTATTTTGAATGGAAAATTTCATTCCATGTACATGGAGGGAGAAAAAAATTGAAACCCTCTTAATTTGGGCTAAAAAATAGGGTTCACAGCTGCTGTGTTTTTAAAATTTTCTTGCTTCATTTCCTATGAATGCCTCTGGAGCAAGAAGAAATCTATAGTTAAACCCCACAGTTTTAAACTGATCTTTATAATATATCTTTCTATGTACCTGTGCATATAAAGCCATTGATTTGCTTCAGATAATATGAGCTGCTTCCAAGCAGCAGAGCAGTATGGAATCCCATTAACATATCATTCATACAGATTTGTAGCAGCTTCTCAGAACATGCTGGAGAAACGACCCAGGTAATTTAGGACTATTTTTCCTGTGCTTTATTGAACCCACATTTGTCTGTATTTATTCTATGTATTATTTTCTACCTTGTGTCTTCATTTTTATGTTCAGCCAGACCCATAAACCCCTTTTCCCTCTAAGAGTTCCTCAAAGAGAATCATTTAAAAATGTCACACTGCAAAGCTTGTTCTACTCTCCAACTATCCTAAATCATCAGTGAGGACATTAAATCAAGTCAAACCTAATGCCAGATTGCTATGTACCATCCTTGAAAATATACCTTACCTCGTCCAGTGAGTATCCATGCCTGGGAGATTTTACTGTGACTAATTGAACTTTATCTTTTCATACACATAGAGAACATTACAAAATAGCCAACACAAAACCAGCCATAGCACTAAACACAGTGAAGCAGGCATATTTAGTTGCCAGAAGGATTATCTGTAGGAGACAGTGCTCTGAAAACACCTGCTGCACAGAGTACCAGCACCAACACAGGTTTCAGGTGCATGCATTATGTCTTTGAAGCCCTGGCACTGTATGCTCCAGAAGAATCACAGGATGGAGGCTGCTGAGTAGAGGATACCATAAGAGCATTCAAAGATTACCAAAGATTACACAAATAACAAAGATTATGGACAAGATTACCAGTGCTCAGGAGTGCAGGTTCAAAGTCAATTTAACAGAGACTGGAAGTAAAAGACTCATGAAAAATAAAAATCAAATTTAAAATAATCCCTAGACCTGCAGTCACCACGTCCAACTGCCTCAAGCCTAAAGTAACTTCAGACTTAACAGAAGGCTAGAAATATTCAAACTGATCAGTGCTATGTGGCACAAACCCTGCTCATGTTGTCATAAAACACCTCTTTGAGAAGCAGCTGCCTATATTGCCTTTCTCTGTCAAATACAACAAAGCAAAATTAATACTGGCCACTTGAACTCTGTTATACCCTCCTGTTTGGCAGTAGAAGTAGGCTAATAGATGGGTCAGGAAGTTAAGTCTCCCCTATGGAATGGATAAATGAAGATTAAAAATTGGTGGTTTGTTAAGAATTACACTGATACCCGAGTGACATGAACCTTACTTCTTAGAAAGTTCACTCATCTCCCTCCACTGGGCAGAGAACTGAATCCTGCATGCTGTCTTGTAATCAGTCTACAATCACTCAGGAGCTCTGTATACTGTGCAGTCCAGAATGTGAGTGATGCTTTTGGGTACTGGCAGCCTAAATAAAGCTACACTGCCGATCCTGACTTCTGTCCTGCAGCTGTCTAGTTGCTGTGTGTTTGCTCTGTGCTACACCCTCTGAACCCCTACAGAATTATAAATTCATTCTTTGTCATTCCTTTATAAATCATGATGTGAACTGGTTTGAATTCACTTGAGCTAAAATTAAAAAAAAAAAAATGTAGAAGAAATAAAGAAAAAGGGCAAGAAAAACCTGTTGCCTTTGTAAGATTTGGTCTCAGAGAAGGCACCTTCTTGATAGAGCTGATTAGAGCAGACACCCTGTTGTGAACGACTGTTAAAAGGCAAAAAGGCATTGGAGTGTAATTCACCTCAACAAATGAAAGCAACTTCTAACAGTGTGCTTCCAACCTTTCAGTCTAGAGAGACATCTCAGAGATCTAGGGGACAAATGAAATGAAACTCACCTGTGTGTGTTGGAAGAGCTGACATTTCTTAGGTACATTTTTTATCTACAAATCTCATCTAGTAAAATGACATCCCAATTCAAATCATAGCACCCAGATCTCCCACCATTTGATTTACACACGAAGCTGCCTTAGCCATATTGCTTTGAGTGAAATGGCAATGAATGTTCTTCAGACCCCATGTTTGCCATCTCTTGTCCTGCAATCATTATGTGGTATGGCTCATCAGATCTGTCTAACTTTTATTGTTAGCTGTAACAAACACCCAGCATAAATCCAATATTCCTTATACAGTTTTACTCTCAAAAGGATTCACTTGTTTTATTCTGCAGTGTTTCTGCTTATACAGCCCTAGACCTCTCTTTCTGTCTCTCTTGCACTGAATATTTGAGTTCAGGGTGATTTTCGAGGATACAATAACTGTATTTTTCATATCCTGAAACTCAACTGTCTCCAAGTCTCCATAAATCTTTTCTTTCATGACACTGAGGTTTGCTGTTTCTTCCAATTTAGTTCAGCTGCAAACATAATTAATGCGGCATTTCACAATGGAAAATGTAATGGAGATATTGAAGATAAAAAAAGTGGGCAGATAATAACATTTACGGCATAAGGATTTTATAGGGAGGGATTTCCTCATCTTGAGTTACCCACAATTCCCAGTTCAAGGCTGCCCTGACAGCACAGACTTGAATGTAGGTCTGATGATACATGGTTCCTTTATAACACAATCAAGGAAGTGTGTGTAACCCTTTATCAGTTAGCATGTTATAGTTTTGGGTTCTTTTTTTAAACCAGAAATTTTGCTCTAGCACTGAAGAAAATTTGATTTACTGTTCCCAATGCTTTTTTCTCACCTGAAGACATCTGGCTAATGAATAAATAAAGCTTCAAAGAGCCAGCAGCAAGACTTTTAGTCAAAGGCAAATGAATAACATTAAGTGCATTTTGGCTCATATTCCAGGATTACAAGTTGCTTGGATGAGCATCTTTTTCTAGTCTCCCAAGTGATGTCTCAGCAGGCATTTGGTCAGGACACTGTCTGAAAGTTAGAAAAAAATTGTTCAAATGGAAAATATAGGATTGTGATAATAAATGTCCAAACTGAAGACAAATACTGAACTATTTTAATTCTGAATAAATGGCATAAAACTTAAGCACAAGATGTATTGTGCCAGAACAAAGCACAGCTGGTCTCATGTTCCATTTCTGACAGCGCATGACAGCACATGCCTTAGGAAAGTTTGTAAGAACAGGACAATCCAGAAACACTGTACTGGTATTAGAACAAAACAACCCCAAAGTATTTTTCCTGCTGAAGATTTATCCAATTGCTTTTTGAGCAGAAATAACTGTTTAGTACAAGTCCAGTGAGGAGGCATAGCTTACCAACAAGCACATGCAGTGCAATCCCCTTGGGTTCTTCTGAACGATTCTCCTTTTTTGTTGCATTTGACACCTGCCAGCCCTTCTGTTGGAGACAGTGAACATTTCCTTTTCTGTCACCTACTGTCCGTTCAGGGTTTTCTAGACCTCCTCAAACGTAAAGAAATAGTTCCCCCAAATGTGCTACACTGTTGTAATGGACGGTATCTTTTTCAAAATTCAATCCCACAAATGTCAGGTTCCCCCACTACACGCCATTGAGTCACTGTTTCGTACACTGAGGCATCAACTGGGACAATTTAGCCCAAGCCTTTGACACGAACCAGTTTCCCAAACAACGTGTTTTAACAGGAGAGGAAAATATTAACTTCTTTTTTTTAGTCTTTGTATGGATGCAAGATCTACCAAACATTTTCACAAGGCTCTCCTTGTCTTTACTTTCTGCTCACTCTTTGCTGCAATGAACAGTCTCCCTCGAGTGGCACACAGCCTGCCATGTGCTTGTGACACTAATGCTGCTACCCAGGAGAGCTCTGCCATGAAACAGAAAGAAAAACACAAGAAAAAATTGGAGGATCCTAGTGTCAGACAGCTTGGCAATGTTTTCTTCAACTGTAGCCTTAGCAGAGCTGAGCACCATATAAGGTTAGGCAGCTCTCTCCTATCATATCCATCAATGTGAAATATTTTCAGCTTTCTGGAGTCACACACTCCCACTATGCTGCAAATATGAAACAAAGACCCACCTCTGCAGTGTTGTGGTGTGAATTCACTTTTCCCCAAAAGAATCACCGTGATTTAAAAAGCAATACACTCAGCTGTATGCATCTTTCCCTGGAATAAACACCTGCAACCTGGTTCCAAACCCTTCCAAACCATATATTAAAGATGACAGTTCTACCACAACTTAGAGGCCTTTGGTTGACATTGGCTATAGAAAAGAAAAGATGATGTGAAGGGTTAGTCACTCCACTTGAAAGAACTGTTACCTCACTCCAGTCATCAGCACCAGGGTGTGCACCTTTTAATTTGGCTGTTCTTTGGTGGCGTAACACAGACCTGTTCCTAGGGGCTGCAACCAGTTGGCAAAGTGATGACAAGATGATGGTCAAGAGAGAAAGCAGCACTTGGAGGGGAAGGGCTGTGGGCAGGAGACAAGGAAAGTCATTTGAGACACTCAGAGGTGACTCTGCTGTCACCCCTCATCAGCATCTGGTCTCGGATCATTTCAGGTCTTTCCACATAACCTTTAAATTTCTCCATTGCCAGAGGTCAGCCAGTCGAGGAGCTGGAGGTCTGTAACCCTGGGCAAGTACTGTAAGAATGATCTCTGAGAGGGGAAACAGTTGTTCTCCAGCCCAGAACCCCTCCCAAGCTTCCCAAGGGAGTGGAGGAAGAACAAAATTAATTTTACCAGGTTTCCTGAGTTTCTGTTTGCCATCACCTCTGTTTAGATCCTTATGGGAACACATGGGTGTAAGTTGGTGCAGTAGGTTTCCAAACCAGCCCAAAATAGTATCTGCCTGCTTAACCCATGTGGACTAATCCATACAGGAGGCTACACACACCACATTGGCTCCATTGTTCAGGAACAGCAAAACTCCTGTGTGAGACTGTCTGGAAACCCATTCTCCTGAAGGGAGAGCTGTGAGGCTCCTGACCTTCAGCCAAGCTTTTAGTAGACTTTTCAAAATCAAATGTGCATTTTTGTAGTACCTGGTAGGGTTCTGGTGAGCAGGGTCCCTGCATCGCTGAAATGGACAGTGAATTACCAGGTTTTTCCACTTTGTGCCATTTCTGAGTTCTCCCCAGTCACAGGGAAGCTATCTATCAACAGCATTGAGTACAGCTGCAGTCTCAATGGATGTAATGTTCCAACCCTTGAGCACAATCAGCTTTACAGGTATCTTATCAGGAAGCATCTTCAGTGAGTGGCAGGATGCCAAGAGGAGTGGGCAAAGGCAATGAGAGACACTATAGAAGGATTAGTGGAATAGGTAGGAGGGAGGGCAGGGTGAAGAATAAGCACAGATAAAGCTGTAAAGAGGCTCAGCAGAAGTAGAACAGACTTGGTATGCTGTGTGGAGCAGGAGACTGGATTATTTATGACAGATACTGCTTTTGTGAAGCCCCTTGCTGTCCCAGTTTCCCTCCCAGCCCAGCAAGCCCACAGATGCTGGGCTGTGCTGGAGCAGACTACTGCCAGAGCTACAAGGCATGCCAGGATCTGGTCCAGCTCAGCCTGACTTTCAGTAGTTCTCACTTCTTTTTAATAACATTCTGCCCCGTTTAAAATCCATTAAGTTCAGATGTACCACAATTATTTAATTACAAAGAGTTTATATTCCAACATAAAAGCACTCATACGAATTCCTCATACGAATTCAACCTGAGTTTATAGCAGTGTTTACAGACATCTCTACCCAACTCCAATATTTGAATCCTTTCCAAACATGATTTGCATTCAAGAATACTACAGCACTTTGCTTTAACAAAGCTACAGCTGAACTTGACTGTCACCTCCAGCTGTATGCTTAAACCGCCTCAGTCAATCAGGGCCAGTGAACAGTTACGTTAAGTAATAGATATTTTAAAATTCTTGCATCATGTTGTTATTTATGTCTTTTCTTATGCTAAGTTACCTCCAGTGCACCCTTCATAGTTACAACATTCTTCTTTTCATGGTCTGGAGCCACAAAGAACAAATAAATCAGAACGTCCAAGCTCCCTTCTGAAAACTCACTGGTCATTGTTTTCAACTCAGCACTGATTCCTCTACTAACACTTGTGCAGAAAAGTGTAGGAGACAGAATCTTGGTATGATGACAGGAGGAGGGAAACCAAAAGGGAAGGTGAATCCTGAAATAGAGTTCCTATGGATAAAGATAGGAACTGGAACTGGGGCAGTAGGATTGGAAAGAGATTGGAAAGAGTTTGAATGGAGAGAAGCAGTATGGTACAGGTTGTAATGAAAGGAGAAAAGGACCCAGAGAAAATGGGGGACAGCTGGGTTTTCAGATAGCCCTAGATGCTGACTTCCCAAGTCTCTACATTCCTCTGATGTGAAATGAGCAGTGAAACCTGCTGGCAAAGTGAATCTCTCATCCCACATCCATGTTTCATCCGAGCAGGAGCAATAATGGGTGTGCTAGGGGGAAAAAAAAATAAATCCCTCAAACCAAAACCAAAACAATCCTAACAAACCAACCACTTGGCAATACATTATAATGATGATCAGGCTGCAAAGTCACACATATGCATTGCTAATAGACCCCAAAATTCAGTTTCTTTCTTCAACTTCAGATTGACCCTCTATCTTCCTTATGGGAGATACATAACATGAAATGAAGACATTAACACACCCACATTCTAAGGTGTTTCCTGGGTTTGGATGTTGTTTTCTGTTTGTTTGGGTTTGGTTTTGTTGTTTGTTTTTTTTGTTGTTGTTGTTGTAATTTGCAACCTGTCAACAAATTGAAGTGGCAAAGTTCAGGACATTAAGATCAAAATAGGGCTTTAAAAGTGTGTTTTTCAGAGTGAAATTACTTGAGGTCATCAAACTACTCACAGAAATGACACCTACTCAGCTCTTGTTGAGATCCTCTGTTGTTGAATTTTACTGAGGTTTGCTCGGGAGTGAGCATTATAATGATTCTACTTGGCTAGGACACAGCATGCAGGTATCAAGTGGGAACCATAGCATATTGCTTCAAGTGCACTCCAAGACAAGCAAATGGTTAGGATCCTTGCAAGAATATCTGAGGATTTCACAAGGACTGGACCAAAAGTACTGATAGGCTGGATTGTGGCTTGCATGCACTTTCTGAATAGCCCTGGACTAGACTAATGCCAATATCCTGGCTAGAAGGAGGAGGTTTACACATTTGAGAGGAAATGCACTGAGATGAAGGTGGATGTCCCATGCCGCTCTGTGATGTGTGGCAGCCTAGCGTGGAATGGCACAAATCCTGTAGGGGTGGGGCTGCAGCGTACCACCCAGAATGGGCTCTGTGCTGATCTTCGTCACCCCCTCAGGGAGCCGGAAGGTGAATGCCCGCAGCAGGTTGGCAAAGAAGATAAAGAGCTCAGTTCTTGCCAGATGCTCCCCCAGACACACACGGTGCCCTGCAGAAGGAAGGTGGGGAGGGAGAGGAAAGTGAATTATTGAGGAATTTTTCAGTTTCATAATAACTTTGTTCATTCATGTTATAAGCAGAGTGTTTTCTTTTGTTCAGGGCCAGGATCATGAAAGCCACAGAATCAAAACTTTGAATTCTTTCTCAGAGACATCTCATCCAATGTCATAGGTTAGGAAATGCCAAATAAAAATCTTGGTGAAAGTGCCTGAGGTACCACCATCATTTCTTTCTTGACCTTGCTTGGTGTGGCAGAAAATTCTTTTCCTCTTACGCTGTTGAGCTTCAGGGTCATACACAAAGAATCTGCCAGCTGTTTGTGTGTGCTTTATTAGTGAGCTAACATCAGTGGATCAAAATTACTTAGCAATTGCATTTGCAATTCAACAAAGGGTTGGCCACTTTACAGGCAAAACTCAAGAGACCAATGTAATTTCCAAGGATTCATCATTGGAACCAATGGCATGAGCAGAACAGGTAAATAATATATTCATATTTCCAGATTAGCAGACAAATGAAAGGAAAGAAAAAGCCATTTGCATTAAGAAATCACTCCTGAGTGGATAGCTAAGTGACTACTCTGCTATATCAACAGAAAAACTAAACCAAAACCAACACAGTAGGAACTTGGAGGCTAAATGTGGTTGCTAACTGTGCACTGTTACCTTATTTCCTTCCTTTGCAACTGGATTTTCAGTTCTGTAAGCAAGAACTTAATCCTTTGTTTATCAGAATGCATTCTGCTTTTCTTTCAGCTTGTTCCTTTAAAAAGGGTTACAAGTAACTCCAGGACACACAGGATGCATTGCTTCTCAGGAAAAAAATGTACATATAAGGAATACTACCATAAAAATCTGTGGATGACTGCAGCATGAAATATGCCTGAGAAATCCAGGAGTTTAAGCTGGATTCCCACTACAGAGTCCTAAGAACAGTTTGGGATCTGATAGCATAGAAGCATCGCCCCTGGCAGAAACAACCCAGTATTGTTCTTTAAAAGCAGCAAACAGCAGAGAGAGAGGATGTTATCTGAAGAAATACCATAGTCTCACGCTTCTGTATTCTTCATCTAATTTGTTGGGTCAGTTCAAACTGGCGGTGCATTTACCTGCTGAAAATGGTAAGAAGGCTTCTCGAGGCATAAAGTTTCCTTCTTTATCCAGAAAGTGGCCAGGGTTGAACTCTCGAGGTGTCTCCCATTGCTCAGGGTCATACAGAGCAGATGCTATATTTGGCATAACAATAGTGCCCTGCAAGGAAGAAACTGTTGATTTAGTTCCAACTTGTAGATTTTCACCCATCAGTTTCTGCCTGGCAGATAAAACTGCTGCTTGTTACCATTTCTTTGTAATGAGCAGATATGATCTGGTTAGAAGACCATTTGTTTTCCTAGAAATCTGGAGTTTGTGATCATTTTCTGAGTTGAATATTATCTTCTCAACCCTGCAGCTGTGTCAGTGGGTGTTAACAGCATTAGTGATGTTGGTACAACTTTGTTATGACCACTTTTGCAACTATTCCATAATACTTCCAGCAGGACTCTCTTGTTGATACTCAGGTCCCAGCATTGGAAACCTCCTGTCATGCTTAAGAGAGAGAGAAATCCAGAGATAATTGCAGTACTTCATTGATAACAACCTCTGAGCCCTTTTAGCAGTAGTACTCCAGGCTTTTTCCTTACAGGTTATTCCCAGCAGACCAGTTCGTGTGCCTTAGGTACCTGGCTGTCAGAAGCAGACAGGAGTGAAACCCTGACCACAAAATGAGTTAGGTGGGGCCAGTCCTACATGCCAGTGATGGTGCTGGCCTCTCCCATCTCTCTTGCAATAAAAGCAACCAATTCCTCTTTCTTGATAGTGTTTTATGCTGAGAACTGGCACCCAGCTTTATTGGCTCTGAACAGTCTTAGGCAGTATTTAGGAGCAACTTCCTCACTGTCAGCTGTAGCTGTCAGTCTCTCAGCTGTTACAGATTCAGGTAGGTCCCTTAGCTCTTGGAGTCAGTGGAGCTATGAGCCATACTCTCAGAAGTCTTCCTCCATTCCAGGAGTGCCAAGCTGGGCAGAGGTGTCTTAACCAGTGCTTTGGCAAACGAGTTTCCCCTCTCAGTCTATCCCCAGCCAAGCAGAACTGGTCTCTGAAGTTGTGCTTTGATCAGCTGGGCAGAAACTTCAGGCTTCTGTGGTAGGGGCAGGGGCCTTATGAGCTGTCTTGAGTGTCAACATGATGAGTGAGAGACTTATTACCAGAGCCACAAATGGCAACCCTTCCCCAGGCACCACATTTCTAGGTTATATGAAGCATAGTTTATAGATGGAAAATGGGTTGCTAAACTGAAATAAAAGCTAAATGTCTCTGCTGAAGAAAGAGCAGAGGCTGGAAATGTGTCCGTACCTTTTTGACAGGGAATCCTAGCAAAATTGTGTCCCTCACACACACTCTGGGCATGCCAACAAAAACAATGTTGCTGAAGCGTTGTATCTCATGAACCACAGCATTTGTATAAGGCAGGTTTTTCCGATCCTCATAGCAAATTAATTGTGAAGGACCCAAAACAGTATCCATCTCCTTCTGCACTTTCCCTGTTACAAAATACACAGTATTTCAGATGGGAAAAATATATAAAATATTTTATGCATATGCCTTTTCACAGAGCAACATTAAAATGTATTATTTCAACATAGCACATGAAGTCTATAACTTGTGATTTAATGCCTGAGTTTAATACATGAAGATAAAAACGGGTGTAGGGGAGAAGGGAGGGGATAACAGTGTGGTCCAGAATCATAAGCAATGACTACACTGTACTTATACCAGCTCTGACATTTATCTTACGGAATGCTCAATGGGTGTAGAGCAAGCCAATCAGCTCCAGGTTTTGAAGGTATTTAGAGACTGTTTAATTCACTTTATCTCAAAAATCTAAATCTTGTTTGCAAAATTGACATAAATGCCTCAGATATTAACTGCCAGTGCAAGGAATGAATTGAGCAGAGTTGGTCCAAGTATGGCCAATTTTTGTCTCACTGCAAGTGCCTTCAGCCAGCTGGTTTGGTCAGGACATAGGATGGCCTCTGATTTTTCCCTCTGCTGCCATTCTTTGTGTTTACAGAGAGTGAAGGCCAGGATCAAATAGTGACTTTTGCACCTGCAACTCATTATATTCAGCCATCACTAGCATTTGGAGTACCCACAGCATTTCACAGCAAGAATCCTTCTCACCTTGGATGTCTGGATTCACTACCATATAGAGAAGTCCCCAGTACAGTGTTGTGCTTGAGGTCTCTGATCCACCGAGGAAAAGATCATTTATAACACATACCAAATTGTCTTCATCATACTTGGGCTTGACCCCATCTTTAGACTGTAGATGATAAAAAGTTGAAGTTAAAGCATAAAAATAAGGTCATCGTGCATGCCTCCTGTGTGGAATTTTTATTTCCATTTGCATAAAGAATATTCAAAATTGTAGGTTTTGATGAAATTAATGGTTTCCCAAACGGACACAGTAAGTCTGCATTGCTCATTTTCATGACATGGAATATTCTTTCATTAAAAACCAGACAATTTTATACCTCTTGACTTAATCACAAAAACTTTAAAGCACACCACAAGTTTTGCAGTTAGCCTAGAGTATACTTCTATACAAGTGCTCCACAATGTGTCACTCAGGCCTTGGTCTTTCCAAAACAGTCAAATGGTGCTAGCAAATACCAAGGAAACCTATCTGAATAAAAGGATCACAACTGAACATCTTGAGAGCAATTTCTTCTCTCATTCCAGGACAGATGTGAACTGATAGGAGAGAGGTACCCAAGTATTTTCTTCTTATAGTAAGGGCATAAAATATAAAAACAATTAGAGGAAACACATTAGGCAAAACCATTTTAAAATAAACATATTGCCATGACTTACACCCCTGACACCAGAATAAACTGCATCTTTGCCTCTAAAATGCTTACTTTTGTAAATCTTGTCATAGTCACTCAGACATAATGTACAAGAGGGTATATCAGCTCCCTGCAGAGCCCATGAGCCAACACAGAACACAACAACCTGACTAGACGAAAGCCAGATGTAGAAGCTACATAAACTTCATCTACCCTAAGAAAAAGATGCTTTGTTTAGCTCCCAAATGTATCCAAAAATGTCTGAGCTTGAAGCAGAAACTCCGGTGCTCTTAGCAGAGCCTCTCTGCTCATGAGTCACTTCCTGCTATGGAAAATAATAGTCTGGTGAGAGAAGAAGATTAACAGCTTATTATGGCATTGCATGTGAAATTGTTTCCTAGGCCCTCCAATTCGAATATAGATGCCAAGACAATCATGCCCCAGACTGTGGGGAAATTAGAGGTAACACAGTGAGAACAGGCTTGGGACACCCAAATTCATTCCATTTAGGACCTGCTGATGACAGCATTCATCTGTCAAGAAAGCTGACAGGCGTGATGCATAAAATACCTCTTCCAAGGTTGGTCAAATGATGAAGTAGGCAAGCATTTTTGACGTGCAACTGCTGAAAGGGATGAGGATGAAGGTGGAAGGACTTCTCTCTCTTTGGTACTGCCATACTGAATGATACCAAGGGATTTTAGGACAGCTTGGAAATCCTTTAAGGAATGGACAATCTCCTCAGACCAGGACCTAAAGGGAGTTTCCAGTAGAGGGAAGATCCTCCACAAATGGATTCTGCTCAGAGGAAGAACCATATAGTTGTGTGGCACAAAGACAGCCAGTATTAAGATGCACATTGAAACCCAAAGCAGCATATCAGCTATTTCAGAGTAATTATCTATGCATGCACATTTAATCCCACTGTAAACATGAGGTACCCTGCTGTAGAAGATGAGGTTGTCTACAAAAGTTCTGTAACCAACAGATATAAACTGTCTCATATTTATCATATTAAATCCCAATCATATTACAGGATTGAAGTAATCACATGGATATTTATGGAAAGCGCATGGTAGCTCATGAGTTCACACCCTAAAATACTTTATGATAATTTGTTCATATAACTAAAACATAAAACAAGATGCCTTTCTGGGAAACAGAGTTGGTAAGTCCCAAGCTACTGTATTGACATTAAAGAGCCTATGAAATGTAAGAAACTATGATAGAAAGGGTCAGACTGTATTTAATGGTTTATTTGTCCTTACACTTCATAAATGTGTGATCAGGAAGAATGAACACTTACTTTCTCCATCTCAGCCAGGTAAAAGTCAATGAAATCCTGTGGTTCGTTTGGAATCCCTCTCTCCACATGTCTTCTGATCTCCTTCCTTGCAAAAGAACTCAGGACATCATAGCAAGACAGCGCCTTCTTATGAGGACCTGGGAGGCGGCACATCAGCCAGGGGACAATTTCATACAGCTGTGGGAGTGAGAGACAAGAGGTAGTGTAAATTATCTGTCACTAACAAAGCTGCTTTTAGAAGCACCAAGAGGTTGAATTGTCCTTTCTGGAAACACTGATAATGGAGTAAACAAATTAACATTGCTTTGAGTAGATTTTTGCCATCATGTGAGAAAACTTTACTAGTAATTTTGACATGGTTTTGGGGGTCAAAGGAGTACTGAACACACTCTGCTCATGCCAGTAACTTTACTTGACTAATGTGGATCAGTAGAAGACCTTACTCCTGCACAGCTGGAGACCCTAGATCCCACACACTCAGAATGTAAGGACATCCTTTCTGGATAGCATGTGGCTATTAGGATTAACAAGTCTGCAGCCCCAAGTAATCAGTGGAAATTGTGACGCTCACAGAAAGAAAACGTAGGCTGGGTATCACTCTATGAGCTAATTTAATTTTCCCTCTCAGAGTCTTCATGACTACTATAGGACCAATAATTGTTCTGGTGGGTAGAAATATTTTACCTTCTATGTGTTTTTATACACATACATTTATTTTCTATGTATTTATACATATATTTGTCAACTCAAAGAATTGTCCTATAGCTTGGACAGTTCTCTCTTTGCAGCATCTGACATTCCACCCTGCCAAGCAAGTGGCGTTTTTATCTCCTCTCTTTGTTCTTTCAGACTTAACAAGAGAAGTAAATAGAGGTGGGAGAAGCAGCATTACAGAGATCAAATTTATTATAAACTCCAGTCTCAAATGAAATTTTAAGGTTTCTGTTAACAGTCTCAGAAATGCTGAAAGACTTAAAAGCCAGGAGTCACAGACATGTCCCTTTAAACTTGCAAAGAGAGTTCTTAAAAGTGGCCTCAAAACCAAGGAGGCAGTATGTCGTGGTTTAAGTCCAGCCACGCAGTCTCTCTCTCACTCCCTCCCCTTCATCTCCCCCTCCCCGGCTCCCAGAGGGATGGAGAGGAGAATCGAAAGAATGTAACTCCCATGGGTTGAGATAAGAGCAGTCCTGTAACTGAAGTATAACACAAACCACTGCTGCCTATCACCAATAATAATAATGATAAGGGAAATAACAAGGGAAGAGAATGCAACCTCTCACCACCCGCCAACCAATACCCAGCCCAACCAAGCAGTGATCAACCCTTCTGGGTAACTGCCCCCAGTTCTACATGCTGGGCATGACGTGCTGTGTTATGGAATACCTCTTTGGCTAGTTTGGGTCAGGTGTCCTGTCTCTGCTTCTTCCTGGCTTCCCCTCCTCCCTGGCAGAGCATGAGATTCAGAAAGTCCTTGGTCAGACTAAACATTACTTAGCAACAACTAAAAACATCGGTGTTATCAGTGCTGTTCCCAGGCTCAAAGTCAAAACCACAGCACGGCGCCAGCTACTAAGAAGGAGAAAAAATGACTGCTACTGCTGAACCCAGGACACAGTAGTAAGGGCCCCAAGATCTCTTAGCTCCCAGTTGCTCTGTATTTCAAAAAGTCCTATTTTTATATCCACACTTCCATTTTCTACCTATTGGGGGGGGGGGGGGGGGGGAAGGCATATTAATTACTTACCTGATGCACAAAGCTGCCTCCAAATCTGAATAAATTCTCCGTGACTCTGATCAGTTCATGGAAGGTTTCGTCCTCATCAGAGAAATGATATCCAAAAACCAGAGCACAAATTACATTTGAAATAGAATGGAAAAGAGGGAAAGAAGGATCCACAGGTCTTCCTGCAAACACAGAAATGAGTATTCACTCTCAATGCTTTCTTCAGGTGTTCCTCATGCAGATAGGAGAAGATGTTATAAGAGATTACAAAAAATGTTCTCTTTACCCAGCTAAGGCATGAATGAGGATAGAGATGTGGCATTAATATATATTTCTGAAAATAAAACATAGTCTTAGAGCAAAGGACATGATTAAATGTATCCTCATAGCTCTAAAACAATATCATAACCCTTCCTGTGAAATAGCACTGTACAGATAAGAGCTGTTAGAGGATATAATATCAAATGTGCTGTCCTCAGTTGTGTGGAAGAAGACAAGTCAGAATGTGGGAAGGAAGAAATGTCACTGGAGATGAACTAAGAGAAGGCAGTGACAGACATGCTCAAAAACATAAAAAAAATACTTAGGAGGAAAGACTGAAGGAACTTGGGAAGGTTTAAGAAGCAGAATAGATGGGTGGGAACTGCAAAGTGTACATAATAAAACTACTGCAGTTTCAACTATGGCTGGTAGATCATCATATCTCTATCTGGTGGGGTTTTTTTAAAGTTATGAGACAGACATCCATTAAAAATTATTTGGACAGCAATTATCTTAAATTGGACTCTAGGATGAACCTGATAATCCACTGAAGCTCTCTCCCACCTCCTACTTTCTTTGATTTTCTTGCTAATAGCTACTTATCCAGACAGACAATAAAATATCCAGTTTACCTCATGGCATCTAATGTTACTGAAATTTAGAGGAATGGCTAAGCTCTGCAATACTCTTTAGTTATGTATTGTAGGCAGTCTGAGAATGGCTTGACTGTGCCATTCAGTGACATCATATCATTGTACAGTCATATCATAAAGGAAATCATAGGCCCATGAAGGTGGAATTTCAGAAGTTCCCAACTTCAGTGGGTTTATGAACAGCTTTTTAGGAAAAAAAATCACACTTGAGACACTACCTTCTGTCAGCTCTTTGGGCTTTGGATGCCCCACTCTAGACCTACCCCAACCCTAGACAGGCAGAGGTAAATTTGCATATTGAAGAAATTAGACACTTTTTAGTCCTGGATCCATATCTTAGCAGGTAGATACCTTTTAAGTTCACAAAAAACTCCACCAGGTGAGAGGCCTCCTCTTGCACTCGATATTCCAGGCCTTTTTTCCCCATTCCCAGATTGCGTAGAGTCATTATACCAAAGCGTCTCTGCTGCTTCCAGGAGCGACCACTTGCCAATATAATACCTGAGGGTATTTCCTGGCATATTAATATTTGCCATAGACATGAACAATTCATTTAAAAACATTAAATATATGGAGAGAACCAGGAAATACACTGTTATACAAGCGTCTTTAGGTGAAATTATCAGCAACCAGACATCATGGCCAAACATACCCAAACGGTAATATTGTCTGTAGTTAAGCTTTGAAAAGGACAATTTAAGGTTGATTGCCCCATTTCTTGATGTCTTAAAAAAAAAAAAAATCCCAAACCAAACAAACCCAAAACAACCTTAAGATGTCTTTTTAGATTTGCTTTAGCTACACTCAAACAGTCATGCTCAAGACAGGAATAACTGGATGAATTTGTGCAGAGTGGTGTACAGGGCCAGGGTATGTTTATGGAGATGTAGATCAATTAATGTGATACTTGTAGGGTGAGATGTTGAACTCAAAGGATAAGTGACATTTGGTTCCTGAATTTCCTCTGGAAGGGAGACCATTCCACTGACTGTTAAATTGCACTAGTGGTTACCTGAAGAGCCCTGAACTGCTGCTGTGATTTAGCTTTAAACAATGCGTGTTTGCTTTGGTATAGGAGAAGCAGGGGAGGGAAAAGGAAAGGCTGCAAACTGCTGAAATACACTGAGGAGAAGTGGGTTTTCAGGTGCTGGAGGCACTCTCACAAATGCTTAAGAGTGGCTGCAAACACAGAAAGGAGACTTCTGAAGGATGGTGTTATAAGTTTCTTGCTCATGATGGTAGGTGTTTGGCAACCATAATGTATACAGGAAGCAAATGTATAAACAAGCTTGGCATGGAACATTCAGCAAAATCATGTGCTGCAAATTGGATTGCTCTGTGAGGAGGGCAAGATTGCAAAGCTCTGAGCTAGGATAGTATCCGTGTTGATCATAGCAAAAAGGTCACCTAGAAACAGCCTGATCTGGAGTGTTTCCCAAACTTGGGAAAGCTGGGTACAAAAGGTGTCATGGCAAATAGTAAGTTATTTTCAAGAGCTGGTGGAGGACTTGGACATGTATCTGATGGAAAAGCATTTGGAATGGGAGGGTAGAAGACCTAATAAGGCAGAATAGTTTGCCAAGTCATCATTCCTGTGTATTACTTATGGCAGAAAAACCTCACCTTTTCCTTTGGCCATTGCTCTGAAGAAAGGTGACACCATCCGCCCAGCAACATCCTCAGGGTGTGTAGTCATGCCATCCTTCACTGCTTGATACCCATTCAGTATGATCACTGGGGTCCACCCAAACCACAGAGTATATATGTTGCCATAAGTTTTTGCCAGCTGTAAGTGGAAAAAGATGTCAGAAAAGAACAGATGAACTGCTTATGGGAGTGGTAAAATTAATTTCTTTTGAAAGCACAGGCTGCAGCAACACTGCAGCAAACTAAAGAAGAAGTTGTCATTTCTTTGCATCACATCTAATCCAATATTTGTACCTCATTAGTGGAACAGCCATGCTCTGTGTCTCTCTAGGACTGTATGCCTTCAGCTAACCCTTCCATCGCAAAGGAAACGAAGTGTTTAAATCTGCTCCATTTGAGTGCTCCAGAAGAGGAGGCCCCGCCAGAAACTAGTCAACAGCCATTAGGTGCCAGTGGGGTGCAGCTGAGTCATAAAATAGTTCAGGTTGGAAAGGACCTTAAGATCATCTAGTTCCAATCCCCCTGCCATGGGCAGGGATGCCTCACCCTAGACCATGTCGGCCAAGGCTCTGTCCAGTCGTGCTTTCCTCACAGGAAAGCAATGATCACTGGAGACAGAGAGATGTCCAAGCAGGGACAAGTGTATGATAGAGGAAATTCAGTAATCTGTGGAAAAAGCTTTGCCCAAGCATCTGCTTCAACACACACGATGATACAAAAGAGGTGGTAGACAGTGTCTGAGGTGCCACCAGAATTACATCGAATTGATCACAATAGATCCTTGCTTCTCCTTATAATTCTTTAGGTACTGCCTTTCCTCTCCCTCTTACAGCGTCACTGCCTGAGTCTACACTGCACTCAGTGATCCATGCGTTCTGTCTCAAGCATATATCTGAATCAGAGGTCATCTGCAAACCATTACAAGATTTACTGGCAGAGTACAGGGAGGGACTGACATGGCCTAGGGAGGAGCAACTGCTTCTAAAACCAAGTGGCAAAAACATAGTTTTAAAGGAGGTGTTGGAAGACAGGGAATGTGTGCCATTTCCATGTTACAAGCACAGGCACCACATTACCCAATTTGTCATTAAGTTAGACAATGTGTCAGAATTTTAAAAAATAACATGTATGGGCTTAGCAGCAGTGGAGAAGCATCTTTTCAATAATTGGTATTCTCTGACTTGTTATTAAAGTCAGAAACCTTGTCCCCAACGTTTATTTAATTCATAAGAACGTTAAATTTCTTGTAAAGATGACATATTCCACATAAAAAGGTGACCTGAATGTAAAAATCAAGTTGATCTTTATGTGTCCATACCTCATCTGTAACTTTCTAAGACTTCAAAATTTCACTTTGCTATTAGCATATCAGTTTTGCTTAAGCTCTAACTAAAATTAACCAATTAAGAGCATCTTAAAAGAAGTACCTCCATCAGAAGATCCCGATGAAACTGAAAGTTCAGGTGCACCAAATTTCCCAGCAATGGGAGAGGAGTTGGTCCAGGAGGGAAATGCTTGCATGCCTTTCGCAGTTTGAAAAACTCAATAATTAACAAAAAAATGATCAGGACCACAAAAGCTTGACTTATTGTCAGCATTTCAGAGCTGATTTATCAGCTTGTCTTTATCAAAAAGAAGGTACTGGAGCTTGGAAAGGCTGGTTTTCCTTCTTGTTCCACCAGTTGTCTCTGCAGACTGAGTTCTGTTAAGTCCCAGCTCCTTTCCCTCCCTCTGTCCCTCCCTCTTCATCACTGCCTGCCCTTTTCCTGCACCCCATATATTTCCCATACTGAGATATGTTACACTGATCACTGACCAAAAGCACACCTAGCTGGTTACAGCAAGCCCCAGTGAGAAAACTTGCAACTGCTTGTAATCAAGGTATTTGTCCTGAAGTTTAAGTCAGGGAACTGCTGGTGTGTATTGGGACACCTGGATTGGGATGACACCAGCTAAGAGCTGGTGACCACTGGAAATTACATGAGTGAAACTCAGATTCATCTCCCTTGGGAACTTTAAAAACATCCATAGTTGTTCATTTCTTAATTCAGATTATGAGTGTTACATGTCAGTTACAACAGATTTGCTAGGTGCTTTAGTCACAAACACTATTTAGCTTATCCTTAAATGTGGCTGGAAATTCAGTTTTGGCTGCCAGTCCCTTCAGTTTATGCAGGCAAAACCCAACAGCAGTTGCAGACTAAGTGTGCAATTAGAAGACAAAATTGCTACGTGCAATTTCTGAAAAACTGGCCATGAGTGTTCAAACGTTTTTCCCTGGTAAATGGCAAAAATAACAGTTTCATCAAGTGAGGATTAATGACATGGAGTTAGTGCTTAAAAACTCACCTTACAATTGAATACTAAAGAATTCAGAATATTAAAATCTGTTATATTTAAAAACTAATTAAATGTAAAATTCCAATTGTATTTTATGTTAGCATGTATCCTAATTAAAGGCTTTGTGTGCCTTGCTTTATTTTCTACATTTTTTATCGGTTTTAGAATCCTGGCTATTATTACAAGTTCTCAGTAAGTTTACAGGACTTAGTTTGAAAGAGAGCCATGGAAAGCACTGCATGGCAATCACCACGGGATCCGATCTCACATTGCAAAGAGAATGTCTTCACTGAAAATGAAGTGCAAGTCTGAACAAGAGATTGCCCTGCCCTCCAACGCATACATAAATGTGGTATTTTGCAAACCTGGCAACATTAGGGAAGTGATGTGACTCAGTGACATCAATCCATCCCCTTCATTTGGTCAAAGTTTGCAGCTATTGTAGGTACCTATGTGCCTGCGTCAGGCAGTGAAGGCAGCATGAAAAAGCAGGGGTTTATGGGCTTGTCTGTGCAAAACTAACAGGACATTATGGGCAGCACGTGTGGCAAGTGGGCTGAGGTGCGCTCCATGGCTTTGTTAAACCAGTGCATGTCAGGTACAATTGCCCATTGTGAGGCTGAAATCAGCAAAATAGAAAATCAGAAAAATTTGTTTCTTCAACCCAAAATATCAAGTTAAAAAGTTGGAAAAAAAAATGAAGAAAATCAGTTTTGTGCAGACAGCTGAACTTGGAAGAACTGCTGAATTACCTGAATTTCATGAATAGACTAGATACAATAATATTCATCTCTCTTCAATCAAGATTGCATTGCTTAGCTTTAGATACTTAATTCTTGACATAGCATCTTGGTATTAGTAAATGAACTCACCTCTTACAGAACATGGGTCAGACATAAATGGAATCAAGTCACCATCGTCAGATGTAGGATGAAGCTAAAAGAGCCAGCCAGCAGTTTGTCCCACCAGATGTTACTATCACCTTTCTTTTACCGGCGTTTTCAGAATTTTCCAGGTGTCTGAAAACTGTCTGATACTTGAACACTTAGTTACAGCAGCGCCTGGAGTCACTGCATAAATTGTACTGGAAACAAAACCAGGCTGAGGGAATTTGTGTTATAAAATCATACAACAGTTTGGGTTGGAAGGCACCTTCAAAGCTTATCTCATCCAACCTTCCTGCAATGAGCAGGGACATCTTCAACTGGATCAGGTTGTTCAGAACCACATTCAGCCTGGTCTTGAATGTCTCCAGGGATGGTGCATCTACCCATTCTTTGGGCAACCTGTTTCAGTATTTTACCACCCTTGTTGTAATAAATTTCTTCCTGGCATGGATCTGTTCCTGTCTGATGCTTCCTCTTCTGGACACATAATCTGCAGTAGCTGCTGGGTTTATATTTTCGGCAGAAAACTCAGCTTTCCTGACAGATAGTAACCCAAGTAAAGAGCAGTTTAAAGAAGCAGACTCCAAGGGCAAGAAGAGCAAGCTTTAATGAAAGCTGCCAGGAAGCCAAAGTTCCAGTAAGATTTTTAGCAAACATAAAAGAATGCTTTAAAGTAAGTTTCTGAAAAATTAGTATAAAGCTTGCAAAGCTGGGCAAGTAATGTGACAGTCAAACGCATAGCCCCGATACCATTGAGCAAGCAAATGTTTCATTCAGTTCTGGGACGTTGATACTTAAATACTGAGAATAAAATGTAACACATTTGTTAAGAGGGAATGTCAGGAGCTAGGATCTCCAAAGCACAAGAACTTTCATAGACTGGGAACAAAGCAGCAGCCAATTGCTTTGAGTGAGGCTTTAAATATATGATATTTGAAAGTGGAAATTGCACAACACATTGCTGCGCTCTTTTCCTCAACCACATATATCTTCAGAAACATGCAAAATACACAAGTTGGAATGTGCCTAGGAAGTAGGAGCATTAAGGCTGGATTTGAGGTGGCACAAAGATTGAGAAGGAAACAATGTATGCGACCTCAATAACTGAAATAAGAATGGGGAGAGACAAAAGAAATGGGATCCCTGATCCAAATTGCTGCAAGAACTTTTCTTGCAGAGAGTTTCCCAAAGAAGAGTAACTTGACATTCTCTGGAATGTGTTATAAAAATTTAGTCTTGGCCATGATCTGATTTAATTATTTTATTATAATTGATTAACATCAAGAGGCAATAAGCAAGCAGCGCTGGGTGCGCGGGGAGTCTCCGCTCCGCCAACAACGCACACCATGGTTTTTGGGGTACAGTCTCTTATACGTCTCGGTCCAGGGTTTCAGTTCCTGGTTTTGAGTTCCAGCCAATCCTGTTGTCTTCTTTGCCCGAAACTCTATGTGGCTCCTTTTCATTTGTTTCTGTCCCATTGCTGGGGTCTTCTCTCCAGGTAAAGAAACATACTGAAACTTCTCGGTAATACATTAACAGAAAGATGTCTATCACAAGCTTAATCACAATCTTAGACCCATATATTTAACAGGATGTGTCTCCTTGGTTACCTAACCCCCTTAAAGCATTCAAGCAGTTAAACAAAGCTAAAAGCGTTCCTTTAATAGTGTAAATGATTAAAGAGGGGACTAGCTTATTCCCTTGTTTCTTCTTCTTTCCCATCATTACATAGACAGCAACATTTATTATAATCAAGGTCGTTTTTATACATTCCACACATGGTACACGGCTCACAGGTGCATTGGTAACAATGATTTCTAAGTTCTTGACACGAATCATTCTCGTATTCTTTACAAATGGAATCTGGAGAGAGATGTTTTACAAGGGCATGTAGGGATATGACAAAGGGAAATGGATTTAAACTAGAAGAAGGTAGATTTAGATTAGATATTAGGAAGAAGTTCTTCACTGTGAGGATGGTAAGACACTTGCCCAGAGAAGCTGTGGCTGTCCCATCCCTGGCAGTGCTCAGGGCCAGGCTGGATGGGACTGGGAGCAACCTGGTCTAGTGGAAGGTGCTCCTGCCCATGGCAGGGGTTTGGAACTGGATGATCTTTAAGGTCCCTTCCAACCCAAACCATTCTGTGATTCTCTGGGCAAAAGTACTGGGAACTGGATGATTCATCTATGTAAGGAGTGATGGATAAATTTTTCAGGGTGCAGGAAAATGCAAAGTACCTGAGATCATGTCCATAATTTCTGCATAACAAGCCTAAGGATGCAAAGAAAATCCCCCAAAGATTGAAGAAACTCAAGTGGAAAAAACAAATAAAAAAAATGTTAGAGGATAAATGCTAAAGCCTGACAGAAAAAGATATTTCTGTTTTTACAAGAGGCTAAAATCAGCGTTCTCACATTAGGATCCTTTCTGTAGGACAGCAGGTACTGTACTATTGCTTTTAATGATTGAGGATGTAGAGATCTGTGGGGAAAAAATAGAAGTTCAAAGTCCATTTTCAGAAATGTCTAAAAGAAGCACCAGGAAAAAATATGGCAAAAACTGTAAAATGCAATGCAGATGTTATCAGCTGAAGCAGTTTATTGTCTTAACCTCTACCAGTGATTTCTTCACAGCAGTACTACTGGCTGCAAAGTATAAGGTGCAGCGTGATGACAAGAGACTAATGGCAGATGACAAGAGACTAATTTGTTTAGCTTGTAAACCAAGTTAAACAAATGAGCTCCACAGAAGACTCTCTGATGGTCTGATAGAAATTAAACACCCAAAAGTGTGTGTCATAATAGCTTGTCACAAAAAATACATCAAACTTAAAATCCAGGAGAGTTGCGATTAACAAATCAACGGCTGGGAAAACATTGAAAGCTTGTACTGACCACAGGTATAAATAGTATTTATTGTGGTAGGAATGGGGAAAAGCCATCAGGACAAGGAAAAAGTCATATTTAGATACCAAAATGAAGATATTTAAAAGTTCACAACAATTTGCAAAACTCACAAGTTAAAAACGTGTGTCATTGTACATGGGATAAAGAAACTGGATAAGGCAAAGTTAAAGCATGAACAACAGCTGACTGCCCAGGTTTTGTATCCTAAGAATAATTAAAGAAAGCATTGCACACCAAAAGGTATTAATTCTACAGTCTTAAAATTTCACAGATGTAAGAAAGCGATCTAATACTTTATACAGTACTAAAAGTAAGCAATTATTTCCCTTCTTTAGCTCCCACTCTGTCAAGTATCTCAGGGTGCTTTACCATTATTAGTTACATTTTAGATCTCTCTAAGGCGAAGATATCCATTCCTACCTATGGAGACTAAAAAATCACACAACATTACAGGATTGTATAGATTTAAAATGTGTAACGGAATAGACTGGCAAATCAGGCAAGTATTAATACCCCTACATTTACATGGTAGGAATTTAAATGCAAAACATGAAAGGCAGAATCAGCATAATTCAGTAATGCATCCTAATTGCTACACTCAACTTGTAGCAGTACATTTTTCCAGATCAGTATAAGTGGAGCTGTACCAATCCCATTATCTATCTGCACCTCATACTTCCGATTATAAATCCTTCACAGTCAGTTATTTAGACTTCATGAAAAGTCTTTAATTAGTGTGTGACAAACAGAAGTCAAGCAAGAGCAGATAAAAACCACAGGAAGACTGTAGCAGATAGAAGCAGCCACTTGTGTGATGCGGAGGGTCAGGGTGGCTCATAACCACAAGAAGATAACACATCCCCTCACCAAACCTGAAGACGTTCAGATTCTTCAATTACACCATCATTCCTCAGAGGCTATTTCTTAAGCAGGGCTATTTTCTATAACATTTCAGGTTTGAGAGGTTGATTTAGTAATCTAAATAAGCCTACAAAAATACTTTGGAGGAAGATGAAGGTGATATTTCTGTATGTGATTTTATATATCTTAAGGGGAATAAAAACCATCGAGGAGTAGTGCAGAAGCTTAATAACCCTCCATCACACACAATCCTGAATTTCTGACACCGCGGCAGGGACAGCAACCTTTTGAAGCACTGCACTAATTGCATTAAACAGAGGACATCTGTTTTGCTCAAGTGGCAATGTGACAATTAGCCATGTATAAAGTGCGGTGGCCAGAAGTCTGACTCATGCCTTTCTTCCCTGCTCAAGGGAGCTTTTTCTTCTTGCTTCCAAGGAGACTTGAATGATGGGGACTTACATTGTGAGGTGCTGATACGAAGAGAACAGGGAAGCAAGGGTTACACATTGCGTGTGGCAAGAAATTCCCTTCACAACTGATTTTACAGCTAGGGCTATGCTGTAACAATCCCTGTTAATCTGCCCTCTCTCAGCATCTGCCTCTGGGCTGGTTGTTTGTTGCTTTTCTGCCAGTTCCCTGAGTGGGGCAGGGACACAGCTATCAATTCCACTCCGTATTTATCCAAGTCTCCTGTGGGAGAAAGCCTTCAGACAATGCACCTGCCTTCAGGAAATAACTTCCAGCACCTACAGCAACTCTGCTAGCATGACTTTCAAGAAAGATGGCAAGTACACCCAGCAGCTTTCAGCATTTGGCAATTATTTATGGATCAAAGGGTAAGCTGGGTGGCAGCCATTGACACAACATAACAAATTAATATGCAAGAGATTTGTAGTTGATGCTGGCAAAGAAAATGCAGTCCTTTAGACATATGTTTCTCAATCGATTGTACATCAAGTAACTGCAGTACATAGATGCATCCCCAAACTTAAGCAAAAAAACCCAAACCAAACCAAACAACCAAAGGCTAATTTTTATTGATTGTTCCAGTCATTATGTTATCGCTGGTGCATTACAGTAGCAATGTCCAGAGAGGTCCTTTTTCCAAAAAAAATGTTCAATGTGTGTTAGGTTACAAGGGATTGAGAAATACCGCTGTTAAATACCGCTGTTGCTGCTCTTACAGATATTTTGCTGCAAGAAATATTGCTTACACTAATACTGCTGAGCGAATCCTCAGAGTTTTTCATGTAAACCAGGAAAGCCACCTTCTACCACAGGAAACAATACGTATCATTACTTTTACATCCCATCCCTGTCAGCTCCTCTGCAGCCTTTGGTTTTGTGCTGGAGTGAAAATTTAAGTGGGGATGTTGAACACATGCGGGACAGCACCAGGCTGCAGTTGTGGACCTGGGGACAGAGGAGAAAAGAAATGCCCTTAGAGGCTGAGCAACTGTGGTATAATTGAAGAAAAGCAAGGAACAGGAAAAGCAACTTCTTCCGGGCTTATTTGCTTCAGGAAAGATTTTTCTTCTGGTATAAACCATTTCACCAACTGTAAAACTCATTCAGCTTGAAGAGACCCTCAGGATATGTACTTGAAAGGCCAGCTACCCCTCCTCAAAACCCTTGTGAAGCCTTCAAATGTGTTTTTTAGATCTTTTGCCTTATGTCTTTGCCTTTATTTTCATTTTCCTTGCTTTTTACATCACTCCTTCCTGCCCAAAGAGCCACACACAGAACATAGCTCTCCACTACGCTAAAACAGTGTTGATACTCACACAGCAGTTGTGGAAAAAACAGGACAAAGCATGTGAAAGGACAGTTGCTGCATCAAAGTGATCTCATCCTTTCTATTTGCTGTGACTATCCATAAATAGGCAGAGCTCATGTGGCAGCTTTTTTGGGTGGGTAACCAGGTGTCTCCTCTCAGCTCAAATTTTAGTCACTTGGACCTCTCCAAAGGGAAGATATCCTGCAGATTTATTTACAACCAGTTTGATCTGGATCAGCACCCAGAAAACACAGGTTGGAAAAGAAAGTCATGAATAAATAGAAAAAATGATATCTCTTCACTGACCTATGAGCCTCACAGGCTTTGTTACAAAGGAATACAGCCTTCTCTTTCCTATTAAATACTTATAAAAAAAGTAGGATGATTTCTTATGCTGTTGCACTTGGTATGTCCTGCCCACCTTCACGAGATCACACTGCTTTGGTCTTTCAGAAACCAGGAGGTAAAATAGCATGAGGTTTGCATTTGCATATTTGCGTATTACAACTCCAGTGTACAATTAGCAGACACAAAGCAAGGCCAGAGAATGGTGTTTGTCCACATTTCACAAGTGGTTTTCTCTACTTATCTGTATTAAAATAAAATAAAATATGCCTGCAACAATGTGAAGGCCAAACTTCTTGTCTGGTATTCTTTCTACAGAGATTCAACCATGTTAAATATATGCACCACACATACCCTTTTTTTACAGCTTATCTTTGCCTCACCCATTTTAATAATGACATTCTCTTCAGCCTGGAAAGTGTTATTTCTATCAGAAGCAAATTTCTCCAGCACAGCAGACGTTACTCCTCGAATATGTCCTGCCTGATCTATTTTAGGGTAAAATTTTCTAAGAAGTGTGGTCACAATTGTGTATCACATTTGCAACTGCTTTTAATGAATTTATGTTTTATCCCCAGAGATCTTTGTGGTGTTCAGTTTATGGATGCAGAAGAGAACCGCATCACCAAATGAGAGCTGGAGTCACAGATGGATAGTGCAAACACTGGATTTTGAAAAACTTACCTCATATTTAGGCAAGTTTGTAGATGAGATTTTTATATTCAGGAAAATCTTATCTACAATTGGAAACAATAAATGAAACTGCTTTTATAAATAGTATGAAGTTTTAACTGTTCCACACAAAGGTCTGAGAAGTTTTAAAAGAACTTAAAAGCTTTTAAACCTGTTTTCAAAAGCAGGTTTAGGGGGTTGTTTTTTAACTCAAGTTTTCAAAAACTCTGTACTCCAAGTGGCAGCTGAACAAGAGCATAGAAATGGCAGATTACAAGGCTGAAATAGTGAGAAATAAATACATGTCAACTGAACACTGTAAGCTGTTTTATGTTCCCCTTCTGTAGATCCCAGTGTAACGGTATTAAAGCAAGCAGCACTAGTTGCACAGATAGAGCTGTAGCATCCCAGCACATTTTAATTTCAGGCTAAGTGAATGATTCCACATGTCAGTTTGAATTTCTTTTTCAAGTTCAGTGAAAGTTGACAACAGTATCCAAGAACGATGATTGTTTTTCCCAAGGTAAAGCTCAATTCAGACCTTAGCGTGCATAAAGTCTTTAATTACGTGCACTGTGCCTGGAAGCCTCTGATCTGTGAGAACAAATTCAGGTTGTAGAAAGCTTTGTCTGTTGTCTCAGGCTTCATCTCTCTGGTGCTGAATTCTGATGCTGTCATGAAAAGACAGAGAATAGCAAGAAAAGCATAGAACCACAGAATGGTTTTGGTTGGAAGGGACCTTAGAGATCATCTAGTTCCAATCCCCCTGCCAAAATCTTCCAGCCAAGCCAACAGAAAACTGCTTTTGAGAGCTTGCTTCTCTCCCTGAATGCTTGTGTACTGCTGCGCAAGACACAGTCCCCACCCTTCCGATGTAGCTAATTGCCAATTATGCACTCACTGAATGGATGTCTATCTTCAGACAGCAAAGCTCAGGTGTGAAGACACATAATGTACTCACAACTTGGCAGTCACTGCAGTTGTGCTTTGAATAAAAATATTTATTTTTTCTCTTATTTTGATACATAAATGTGAACACCTGATAAAGCTGCTGAAAGGGAAGTGATTCTACCCCCCTACTCTGCTCTTGTGAGCCTCCACCTGGAGTACTGTGTCCAGTTCTGGAGCCCCCAACACAAGAAGGATGGGGAGCTGTTAGAGCAAGTCCCAGGGAGGCCATGGAGATGATGAGAGGGCTGGAGCATCTCTTCTGTGGAGACAGGCTGAGAGAGTTGGGTTGTTCAGCCTGGGTAAGAGAAGGCTCCAGGGAGACCTTAGAGCAGCTTCCAGTGCCTAAAAGAGCTGACTGAAGATGAACTTTTTACAAAAGCGTGCACGGAGGGATAGGACAAAGCAAAAAATTGGCTTTAAAGGGAAAGAGAAAAGATGTAAATTAGATATTGGGAAGAAATTCTTTACTGTGAGGGTGATGAGACACATCCCTGGCAATGTTTAAGGCCAGGTTGGACGGGGCTTCGAGCAACCTGGTCTAGTGGAAGGTGTCCCTGCCTGGGGCAGGGGTTTGGAACTAAATGACCTTTAAGGTCCTTTCCAATCAAACTGTTCTATGATTCTATGAAAGGCTCAGGCCTTAAGCTTATCCAAGAAAGTACACAAGGCTGTTTGTCAGTGTTGGCATAGAAACTATAAGGACTCTTTCCCCATTAGCAAAACCAGGGTGATGGTACTTGGGGCTGTGAAAATTTAGTTGTTATCTTTTAACGCAGCATTCAGATAATACAATAAGGATGCCACAGGAAATGCTACGGATACTTTAGTAGTGCAGTAGTTGGTTCTGTGACACACTAAGTCTGAATATACCCACTGAGTGATAAGGTGTAGCAAATTGGAGGGGAGGCTTTGCCATTAGCAACCTGCCAATGGGGGTCCTGTAAATAACAGAGTGTGATCAAAGAGCAAGAATGTTTCATCATGTGTCATAACACAAGCCTATGAAGTGATTAACTTAAAACCATGAGCATTCTTAAATACAGAATTTCCTAAAACCTGGAAATGCCACTACATGCACATAACAAAGCAAGTATTCATAACATGACATGCAACCAAACAGGTGTCAATGGGGAGGAACACAGGTCGCTACAGATAGATAGACATGAGAAAATTTTGAACAATAACAATAGATCACACTCCTTCTGACCTGTCCTTAATGTGGAAATCATCTTTCTAACACCTGCACTTACAGTGGTACCCATTGAAGAAGTCTGTGGTGCTCAACACAGCTTTCAGAAAGGGAAGGATAAAAATATAAGTCCTTTCTTTTTGTTCATTATGCACTTTGGCTTGATCTGTTGAGACATTTTCTACTGTTCAGCTTCATGGAATATAGGGCTTTATTTGATCAAATGGTGTGCTGCTCAAGGACAATAAGTCTGGTCAGTTCTGTGTTAAGCATCCTGTCAAACACTTCATGAAGACAAGAGGCAAATAATTTCCAGTCCTATCAGACTCCCTTACTGCAGAAGCTCACCTGCAAAGTTGAATAAATACCAAAACCAAGCTAAAATTGGTGAATGACAGCCAGAATTATTCTATTCAATATTTTCTGGTTTCTTTTGGGGTTGGGGCCTTTTGGGTGTTTGGTGTTAGTTTTCTAATTATAGCAAAGTTTTCTCTTGGCAGTACTTAACAGCAAGGAGAGAGGCAGGGTAAAAGGAATGAATGTTCTGCTTCTAAGCCCCATGGATGGGATTCCTACATTTCAAACATGATTACTTTGTTTTTCCAACATCTGGGCCTAGCCTGTCACCACTATCTCACCTAGAGAAAATGAGGGTTAATGTGAGACACACAGTAATTTATTTGGGAGCTTCCCCAGTACACTGCACCCCCTTATGTGGGACAGACCATAAGTACAGAGACAATGACAAACCTCTTATCTTGATCAGAGGGCAGAAGAGCACAGACACAATGAATAAAGTCCATGTACCTATTCAACAAAAAACCCTGCAGACACTGTGTTTTACCAAAATATATGAGAAATCCGTTAAGAAGTTTGTGTTGTAGCGTTTGAATCTCATCCTCAACTAGTCTCATACTGATGGAAAATGAACATGTAACGACCACCAGTGCACCCTGGTGAAACCGGTTGGTTTAAAGTAAGCTTTTACTAAGCCGGTGACAGCAAGAAAGGCGCAGCCCTTTTAAGGAGACTTCTGCTGCCCTCTGCCTGGTTCCCCAGAGAATGCACTGCTGGAATATTAAAAGCGGGTAATTTTGCACTGATCTGTGCTGAATTAACCAGCCTTCTTTCTAGCAGCTGCTGATGTTCTTAAGCAGGCTGAAGGTGCAGAGATTGCTTTTCCCTTAACTACAGCATCAGACCAAATACATACATTAGGACTCAATACCTATATAGTGAACTCCTGCCAAGGGGCATTGTTTCCTGCCGTCACTCAGGACACCACCACAACAGTGTCAGAGAGTGGCAAACCTGAAATCCCAGCATCTCCCTGCCTTCAGGTCCCATAATTCAATAGGAGCCTAAAAAACTTGTAGTATTATTTAAAACCGCAGTAATGGTCTGCTGCAGTTCTCCAGGATGTTGATTACTGCCCATGAGCACTGGAGCTACCAATACCCTCAATATTAGTGGAAGATGGTGGAGATGATACTTGTCCCCGCATAAAACTATTCACAAGCTGCCTGCCTTATATGCCAAACTAGATTCCTCCATACCTTGCAGCTGTCAACTCAAGATGAATTTACAGGAAAGAGCCTATGCTTGTGTGACTGTATCATTGGAATAAATATTTTTACAGTATTCAAAAAGGTTATTTCAAAAATAATATCATACAAAACAGCTGAAGGTGTTTCATTTTCTCTGTAATGCTCCTTAAAATGCATTCTTTGTAGAATAATATCATATTGCCAGCTGACCCCAGAATATACTGGTATTATCCCATCTCATCTGCTGTATCTCATAAACTATTCAAAGAAAGGGCTGCAATTTTATTATTGTTATTCCTTAAGCATTAGAGTCTCACACTGCAGGACAGCAAATAACTAACTCATGGAGCATTGGCTAAAAATACCATGGGCTGAGATTTCTACACAGATATTAGGACAAGTTCATAAGCTTTCCACTCAGAAGATATGCCAAACTCAGCTGAGATATCATTTCAAATTAATCCAGTTCATTGGGATTTTTTAGGCCAATGTTCAGTGGATAAAAACAGTTTTAAATAATCCCTTTCAGAAATTTCTTAATGAAAACTTTCTGGATTTCCCACTAAATCTTTTATTCAAGAAAACCTAAGGAAAATGGTTTAGCTCAGGACATCAAACTTGAGTTTGAATACGTTGGCTTTTAGAGGCATTTTGAGTCACTGCAAAACTAAAATGCTTTTTTCTGCTGCAACTTAGTGCACCATAATGATAAAGGAAAAAAAAACTCCGGAAAAAATTCCCTAGAGAAAACTGTCACTCCAGGAAGAAAGAAAGGAGAGAAGCATGATGGGATGTTGGAATAGGGTTATCCTCACCTCACCAGCCACCTGACACTAGAAGTGATAAGGAGAAGAATCCATGTCATGACAGCCTTCATTCTTTCACAAAGATAATAAATTGAAATAAAATAGCTTTAAGTTTCTGTGACCCATAACAGGTTTGGCAATACCTGTTTCTCCCCTTACAGCAGGCATGAGTTTGGGATCTGATAGCTTCAAGAAACTAGACCTTACCAGGTTTGATGCTTATGCTAAATACCAAGGTCCTTAATTAATCAGCTTAAATACTGAATAGTACTAAATGTGGGACAGAATCCCATTCAGTGTATCTTTCAGTTTGACACAGATATTCATAGATATTTTCTGAGTTTTCAAAAATCTTTAACAAAGCTTCAGATACCCCAAGTTTCCCTAGAGTTTCTGAGATTGTGTCAAAGCCACATTAAAGAGCAGTAAATTACCTTGATGGCTTCTCTCCTGAAAATAGACCCCTGGCAATGTCATCAAACAAAGTAACTTTGACATTATTTGGTGTGTACTGATACTTCCTGTTTCCATCCCAGTGCTTACAATTTCATTAGCTTCTCAGGATAGTCTGAGAAGTGAAATCAGGCTGACTGATTCATAACACTGCAACTTCTCTTACCTTCTGAAGACAAACAAATGTTTGACCTTTTGCCATCCTCCACAGATTCTCATAGATAATCGTTAATAGCTCTAAGGTTGATACTGTTCCCTATGTGCCCTGGGATGAATCAGCCCAGCTGATGAATATGAAAAATCAAGTTTATCTGCTTATTTTCTAACCTCTTCTTCCTAACCTTGATAGAAATCTTCCATGAACATCAGTGGTGTTAAAAGTATTGGCCTTTAGATGACCATTGCCATTTTCTTAAGCCAAAAAAGGCATTAAGTTGTCCATCTGCCAGAGAGCTTTCCTCATGTGCTGCAGTTTTAAGAAACCAGCACTTTCCTTGGTCCTGATTATATTACTGAAATACAGAAATTTTATTATTTATTCCTTATATTTGCTTTGTCTATAAACTTTAAGGATACATGGAGCAAATCTAGAAGTTCTAGATGCTGAAATTTTCATCTCATCTCAACAGTCACTGGCAAACACTTCAAGGACTGAGCACAGAAGCATTCAATTTAGGCTGTGGTTCTGACACAGTGCATACACTGGAATATGTTTGTTAAGGCTGAAGAAATAAAGGCAAGAACTGCATCCTTACTAATGTGGGAATTCATATTCAATATTTCCACCTGACCATTTCCTGCCCTTGCCCTTCTCTTGCTCTTTCATAGCAGCTGCATTTCTCTCCTTGTTAAAGGGGAATACTTCTCACAGGTGGGGAAAGGTCCACGTTTTTCCTGCAGACACAGCACAGTGCATAGTAGAAACATCTACGCTGGCTTTGCAGGAGTTAACGTCTTCGGCAGGAAGAAGCTCGCTGCAGAAAGATAAAATCCCTACTGGTCTAACTGCTCCCCTGAAAACCAGCGCACGCTCCCTGCAGGCTGTGCAAGGTCATTACAGCCAATTCAGGAGGCTTGGTGCTGAATACTCCGCTGTGGAACGACTCTGCCTTCTCCTCAACAGGGTATTTGATGCAAGTGCTTGAAGTTTTTGTAAATTCAGAAAGCAAACAGCTAGAAGAGAGATAATTTGACCTACTGAAGAATTGCTCAATCTTCACATCTCCTTTCAGCTGCTTTATCTGTCTTCTAGCTGATACTGGAAAAATTTAAATTCTCACTAACTTTAAGGCTTTCTTCCTGGAACTGCTTTATTTTCCTTACCTTTCTCCTTTGCTTTGGATTCTTCTTTCTTATTATCACCAGGTTAAAAAAAAAGACTGCTAGGCTAAGGTATATTTTAAAAGAACTCCGCACTAGGCAATTACCTACTTCTCTTAACCTCTTACCTTTGAGAAAATATTTTCTCCTCTGTTGAGTAAAAATCTGTGAGCATGAAAATATTTTGCATGTTAATTTCAGGAAAATCAGGTTTTAACAAAGTTAAAACTCTCACCTTTTATTTCCACCTGATTTTGGAATAAAACAAATTGATTTTGGTTTACTCCAACAAAATGAGTTGGTTTAATTGTCGTTTATAGTTACATATAACAGCTTTCTCTCTCCAAATTACTTTAAAGCAAAAGTTGTTTTTTTTTTCTCTTTTCCTTTTAGATTTTGGCCTCATTTTTAGGAGAAGATTACCTGTCACACCTGCTGACATGAGCTACTCCAGATACAAAGAGTTGTGAAGCCACCTTCACTAGATTACCCCTCTGGGTTCCAAGTGTCCCTGCAGAATTCAGTGGAAAGGAAGACAGATGAGCATCATAGTATCATAAGGCTTGAGAATTACATGAACCCAAAATCTTCAACAACAAGCAAAGTGTTCCATATCTTACAAAACAACTCTGCTAAAGCCTGACCAACAAAACTGAACTTCCAGTTCGTTTCTTGGAAAATACAGTGTGGTCTAACCAAGTCAGTGAGTGTCCCTCCCTGCAAAGCTGTCCTCCTTTACTGGTCACCCAGGCTAGCTCCCGATTATTCTTTGGTGTTCTGTCTACAAGGATTGCAATTTTGAAGTGTGATCTAAAAGGTGCAAGACAGAGACTGACCTACCCCCTGGTGTGATAATCCAGGAACAGCAGTCTTTTAAATGAGGCCATACGCCAAAGTACAATTAGCTTTACAGGCTAGAAGCAACCAGCCTCAGCCATCACAGAGAAAGATGATGATGTGGGGGCAACAAACTGGCCAGTTGCTAACACCAGCGGGCATCCATGATACAGAGAATAGAAAGGGTGTCAATCTCTATTGTCTATTCTGAAAATGGAGCCCAAGCAAGCCATGAGAAATAATGGGGAAGCAATAAGCATGAGAAGAGAAAAGAATGAAGGGTATGGTGGAGGTCTCCAAAACACCCCTTCAGACCAGCAGCCCTGGACTGCCACAGCTCCATAGCCTGATGAAGGAGGCACAACGCAGCCAAGGCTGAGAAAGCCTTAGAACATGGGAGTAGAAGCTGATCTCTCAAAGCTGCCTTCAGCTTTGTTGGCCTACTGTGGCAAAAATGGACAGGCTTTAAAAGGCTTTTAAAAGCTGCGAAAGACATTATTAGAACATGAATGAAAGTGAATCACTTTTAAAACAGGTCAGGCAAGAATAGATGTGCAAAGGCTCTGGAAAGCATACCTCTCCCATCTCCCTGCTGTGAGCCTCCCCTGATGTCCTTCTGCCACACATTGTGTGTTGGGTTCTTTCCTGAGAAAAGAGAACCATTACTTTCCTGAGTGGCTGTGCACAATGGATTAAAAATCACCAACAAGCAGTTCCTGTCCCAGACAGGCATTAGCGCAACCACACATGAATAAGCTACCAATGAAGGATGTACAGCACCTGTGCGTCTCCTCTTGAGCATTTCAGGCAGTATTTATGCCCTCATTTTGGGTTGTGCCATTCCCATGGGTTCAGGCAACTCAATCTGCTTTGGCTGCAGAGCCTTCCTGGGCAAGCTTCCACCCCAGGCCCACCTGCATGTTTCCCTTTTGGACAGATATCTGAGGAGGCATGTGGCCATTAGGAATGTCAGCATCAATGACGTTAAAACTTGTAATGCTACTGATGGCTTCAGCTTCACTTTTAAGATGCAAAGACAGCTCCAACATCCCCAAATCGCAGTGTTTTCTGCTTTACCTTATCTATCTGTGCACACACGCAAATCCATGGAGACTTTGACATCAGTTTTTAACAGGGAACAGTTTTCTGTCAAATAAAATGTCAGGATGTGATCTTCCATATTTCACTAGTGCTATTCTGCCATTTAATTTAATAACAGCTAAATATCAAGTGCTTACTATTTTGATGCTCTGTTCCATCAGCTATTGAATTAGAAATAATGAGACAGGTCTAAATTTGTGATTCATGATAAACGGCCTAAACTAACCTCAATCACACAACAGATGACATCTAGTGATAACTGATTTAACAAACAATCTTCTGTTAATTGTCCTACCATCTCTTACAGAAATAGGAGTATTAATGAAGGATAAGTTAACTTAAACCTTACAAATTTTTTCCAGACAATACAAACAAATTTATATTCACCACTTTTTTCTTTTTTGCTTTTCTGCTATTAAAGACTCTCATTGAACCTGACAGGTATTTTGTGTATATGTCAAGTCTGTAGCTTCAGGTATACTGCTGAACTTCTGAGGTGATTAAACAGTATCACTGGTGTTTTCCATGTGTGTTTTTCAATTTACCATCAGCTTTAACGAGAGCAGGCTCCTCACCCAAACTACCCCTTGAAGCTGCTCCTTGCACCTGCTGTAGCAACCACCCAGTGCTGGTCCTGTCAGGAGTCAACTCATAGGAGCTTCCAAAAATTAACTTGGCAGAGTCTGAAAATATTAAAAGTATCTGCCCTAAAAGAAATCCTCTCTCTGTATATTTACTCTTCCCTGCATTTCAGCCTGCATCGTTTCTCTGCTGGACTCAAACTGCTGCATCAAATCTAGACATTCTCAGTGAACTGCAAGTCATTCATAAATAAAACCAGTTGATAATTTTTTCTTGATATCCTTTATTAGTGGCCATCAACAAAAGGTTGACTGAAATGTTACCCAATGTTGACAATAATGTAGAGTCCAGATTTTCCAGGTATGTTCTTCCAAACTCCGTTGCTTTGGAAAACAGGATAACTCAGAGATATTGAATTAACTGATGAAGTCTGCCTGTCAGTTTTGTCATTTGCTCACCAGCATACGGGTGAGCAAATCTGCCAGGCCAGACAGCAATTGCATGATGCTTTTAAGGCTGAGAGTGATAGTGTGTTCAAGAGCAAAAGAGCAATAATTAAAAAGAATCACCTTCAAAAGCAGGGAACAGGGTCTGAACAAAATCATCTTCTCTAGACAAAAGGGGGCTTTTGGAGCAGAAATTTGTATTCAAGACAAAAAGACATTCAAGACACACATTCATGTAAGCAAGATGGCGTGTGACACACTGCCCTAGCGTGGAATGGCACAAATCCTGTAGGGGTGGGGCTGCAGCGTACCACCCAGAATGGGCTCTGTGCTGATCTTTGTCACCCCCTCAGGGAGCCGGAAGGTGAATGCCCGCAGCAGGTTGGCAAAGAAAATAAAAAGCTCAGTTCTTGCCAGATGCTCTCCTAAACACACACGGTGCCCTGCAGAAGGAAGGTGGGAAGGACAGAGAGTAAAATACCTTGACCTCAAAAGCAACCATATTTATCCTCACACAAAGGTATATTTGCTGAGTCCAGAATTTCTTTACAACTTGATGCAATCAATGACACAAAATTTGATGCAATTCTTCCTTTAAAGAATCCTGTCTGCAGCAACAGATAACTGTGCCCTCCTTCTGCTCTGAGTTTCACTTCAATTACCTCTAAAACCTCATCTTCATTTGACTGAGAACTTTAAAGGAATTTGTTCAATCATGTAAATGAAGAATAAGGACTTGCTCTTCCTAGGAGATATCGTGCTCCCATTTTGTATGCATAAAAAATCAGCACAGCTGCTTGCAAGTACTTTCCAAATGCATGTCTGGTTTTGAAATGTATGCACCAAATAAATAACTATAATCATTAGCGGAGAATTTCCTTCCAAAAATAGGGCAAGTTTGTCAGGACATCTCTGATTTTCCACACACTAATTTGTTCAGTAGAACAAATGCTTACAGTTGGACTGGGAAACATTACCGGAAATAATCATGTTGGTTTTATCATTGTTTTCCACAAAGAGTTTTAAAATAAAAAACCAATAGGTTTTTAACATACATCTTAATTCTACTGTCCCAATTCTACAGTCATCCCAACCATGAATGTTTGTGCTGTTAGTGCATTTACCTATTGAAAATGGTAAAAAGGCTTCTTGGCTCACAAAGTTTCCGTCCTTATTCAGAAAGTGACCAGGGTTGAACTGTCGAGGTGTTTCCCAGTACTCTGGGTCATACAAAGATGAAGCAATATTTGGAAGAACTATGGTGCCCTGAAAGGAGAAAAACAGCAACTTAGTTCTGGCTGTCAATCCTCCCCCTGCAGTTGAAACTGGCTAGGTGAGACCAATGGTAGCTTCCTTCAGAGTTCAGTGCTGTGTGCTGGCAGGTTCATTTCCCCAGTAGGATCAGTGAAGTCTATCTGTTTCAGGATGTCAGTCCAAGCCTGACAGTGGAAGTGGCCATGTCAATGCAAACTAACAACTTTACTCCTACTAAACCTATTTTCATTTCTAACATTAGAAGTCTCTGTGATTTAGTCTCTTTAAGGAAATCTAATTGCAGACCCTCATGCTTTTCCCTTGGATCTACTTACAGGTTTTCTCCAGGCAAGGAAATAGTCAGAAATCTTTACAATGCCTTATTAGCACAAATTAGTCACAGTTTCCTTCAGTATCAATCTATAAGGTTTTGTCTTCATTGGTTTGTAAAAATATTTGCTAAAATCTGCTCTTCCATCCAGGGACATCTTTCACTACTGATAACCCTCTCGCAAGAGCTGTATCACTCAACTCAGCCTGACAGATGGTTTCTTGCCCTTGTTCCCATTCAGGCTGTGACCCAGAGGTATCCAACCCCACCACTGTGGAAAAAAAGATGGTGGTACAAATAGATTTTAATCAAACCTTCTTCTACTGATGCAGGAAAGGTCTGTAGCAACTGAGAAACTGTGTCGGTACCTTTTTGAGGGCAAAGCCAAGCAGCGTAGTGTTCCTCACACACACTCTAGGCATGCCAACTGAGATAATGTTGCTGAAGCGCTGAACCTCATGAACCACAGCGTTGGTGTAGGGCAGTTCTCTCCGATCCTCATAGCAGATTAACTGAGAAGGACCCAGAACGGCATCAAGCTCCTTCTGCACTTTCTCTGTAGAAAAATATACACCATTTCAGGTGGAAAATATGTCAAGTATTTTCACTAATTGCATTTTCAAAGACATTTCCAATTTAGAACTATAAGGACAGCAACAAAACAAATGTAAAAATGTAAGTAACTTTTATAAAGAAAATAAAAGTAGCAGACATCTTTTTTAAGGAAAAGATATTTGTTGTCCAAAAAATAAAAACTCTTTAAAAGTTGCCCTACTCAAACTTAAATGCAAGAGAAGTGATATATCTTTGTGTTTCCCTTTGGCTAGGGCCTCAGAACCACTAGACCCAGTTAGAACCACTAAGCTCACAGCTCTTTGGAATGTAGGTTGGATGAATCAGGGCCTTAAAAGCCTAATTCTGATTAAAAAGTTCTCATGCAGGACAGCTGTTAAGTGAAGTAATGCCAACTAGAACAATGTCCAAATACCTTTAAAGAAAAACAAAACAAAAAAACCCAAACAAACCTGGATATGCTTCTTGGTGCCTGTGTTTTGATCAAGAATAGCATGATTTAAATTGCTTATTGTACAGAAATGTTGGGAGCACTAACAAAAGTATAAAAATTGTTTTGTAAACTTCAAGACAGGCAGGACACACACAATAAAAATGCCTTAGATTTTTGACAAAGGATCTTGTCTTTTTCCAGGCTTTATGAAGCAACACTAAGAGGCAGGGAAGCACATTATGCATTGATCAGTTTGTGCACCTTCAGATCAAGCCTGCTCGGTGGCTGACAGCAGTCCTTCACAAAACTATGTTAGATAGATCCTGACAACAGAGATTTAAGTACCTTACAGAATTTCAAATGTATATCCAGAAAGATTTTAAAGTAAATTTCCTTCTATGAAGAACTAGCTTGCAAAATCAAGCCCAACTACTTCAGGATCCAGCATAGTTTCAAGTGACTGGTCACTGCGTAAGTCTAAATACACATCTCTGCTCCACTAGTTCAGAGAACAAGAAGAGCCTGATTCACTCATCAGGCAAAAGGACAAACTTTTCTATACGGTACATGGTGGAACTGCATAACATTGTCAGTGGGTGTCAATACAGGCAAAAGTGTGAAGAGGTTCAAAAAGAAGCCACCAATTAAACAGGGACAGATGCGCTGATGCCAGTTCATTATGAGAGTCTAAGTGCAATTTATGACTCCAGACAACCAGGTAGGCTCATTCTGCACACACCCTGCTTTCCCAAGTATGTGCAAGGTATTATATTTAAACAAATAAAATTATTTAGGTGAGCCAGGGCTTTCATAACCGTAATCATATTAGGTGATAATTATGCAATAACACAAGCTTAAGTAGACCTTCTTGTCTGACAGCTCCAAGTTGAACAATTTTTTTCTTATCTTCATCTCTTTCCCCCATCCAAAACCCTTTTCTCCTCTGGGTATTTGCACATATTCTGCTGTCTAACAATGAGATTTCTCTCAGCCAGCATAAGGGATCATTCTTTCTTTGTTTTTCACTCAGTGTTCTATGAAAGTGATTGGTGGTTGTTCAAAAGCTAGACTTGAAAATAAACTTCTTAAATATACATAGACATAACAAATGAGTCATCAAATTCCGCTCCTCACTGGAATAATTTCTGTTGCAATTCAAATACATCACAGAATTAATTTAATCACAGGTTAGACACTGTGATAGCTAGGGATCATAAATGGACTGATGGACAAAAGTATAGTCAAAGTTGCCAACTGGCCTTTAGGTGATTCTCTACTACTTCTGTGACCTACAGAGCACAAAGAAGTGCAGAATTCACCATAGCACCCATCACTGGTACCCAGATGATACAAAGCAGAATTGAGGGAAGATTCCAAAGAGTGACATCCCTACTATCACATATCAGTTTCTGGTTCTTTTCAGCCTTCAGTCATGCTTATGTCTTAGACAGAACCCAATTCAATTTCTCGAGGTACCACCAGCACCTCATCAATGGCTGCAGCAGTGGCCACTGTTTTTCAAGCATTATGTGTGCAAACCCTCTGACTTCCCAAACAGCAGCTCCAGTTCTCCTACTCCATTGACCGTCGTACCACAATCTTCATTTCCCCAAAGACCTCAACCCCTCCTATACAAATGCACACTTCCCCAACCGTTAACTCTTTCTGGGAACTTCCTTAAGCCCATGACTTCTGTAAGAACTTGTACACAGATACTGCAGATCCACCAAAGCTGCCCAAAGCAGATGTGTCAGTACAA